GTATCCTGTATCCTGTATCATGTACCCTGTATCATGTATCCAGTATCCAGTATCATGCACCTAGTATCATGTACCCAGTATTTAGTTTGTATATATGTATGAAGCCAATTTTTTACAGATTGATTCTTGCTGAAGAAGTTTAAACCCTCTTACATGAACTGAACACAAAGGACAATGAATGAAAAATTGAATTTTAATGTTTTTTTTTCAAAAATGGGATTTTTTTCGAAAATTGTACTGATTGTACAGATTTTAAAAAGAAATGTACGGATTTTTAAAAAAATGTACGGATTGGTTTAAAAAAATGTACGGATTGTACGGATTTTTTTTTAAAAAATTGTACGGATTGTACGGATTGTTTTTCGAAAATTGTACGGATTGTACAGATTTCTTCTGAAAATGTACGGATTTTTGTACAGATGGGTTCAAAAAAGTGTTGGGCACCCTGTATATAGTTATATGTACTTCTAAAGTTATACTAGGAGGGAGCAGATATATTTATACGACTACAGTGTGAGTAGTAGTGATGGGAACTTTTTTGAAGATGTCATAGGGTGTCCCCTGTCCATTGAGACCACCAGAAATTTGTTGAAGGGCTCAAGGCTCAAAATATTGCAATAGAAAGAAAAAAATCGCTGGAAACATTTTTTGAAAAAGCAACGTCTGACCTGGTGCAGAAGGTTTTAAGCATGTAAAAAATGTCAATGCTGACAAGTTCAAATATTCTTGACGCCATCAGTAATTTCTTCTTCTTCAAACTTTTATTGAAAAAACACAACGTAAATATCTTTTTAAAAAATCACAGGCTTTTCGGTATATATATATACTCTCTACTTGCTTAGAAATATATAAAATTGAGATCTTAAGTATCGACAGCACCGTTATGAAAGACATACTTAGTGTTGAGCAGCCATCTTGACACAAAAATTTAGACTTTGTAAAGTACTTTTCGTACTTAACTGTTAAATACAAGAGAGAAAACACAAATGCAAAAAAATCAAAAAAAAACAAGAAAATAGTAGCTAAAAAAATCGAAACAATAATGCAGATCCGTGTTTTTATCTCCATTTTTAAATGAGAAGTGCGACAAAATAACGAAATCTAATTCAAAAGGAAATACGAAAATAAAAACAAACGAAAAAATAGTGCTGATCCGTTTTTTATATCTCATTTCTTCTAGGAGAAGTGCGACAAAGTAAATCTTGGATCAGAACATCAGAATCAAACTCGTAAATATTGGAATTATTATAAATATGAGATTCAGTTCAATCTATGAAGATATATACTTGAAGAGTATATAGTATCATTAGATTATGAGGAGATATATAGACTGGCACCAGAATAGTACAAATTTTCAATTATAACAGTATTTAAATTGGCATTAGACATTAATTATAAATTTTAAATAATTCTGATGTTAAAAATGGACTTTTCGTTCAGTAAAAAAGAAGAAATAAATACATTAGAAATTACAGGGTGGCCAAAATGTACGGATTGTACGGATTTTTTTTGGTAACCCTAAAGTTGTACGGATTGTACGGATTTTTTTTCAAATTGTACGGATTGTACGAATTTTCACTCATTTCAGCAAATTTTTCATTAAAATTTCCAAAAAAAATTCTCGTCAAAATGAAGTTAGTTTAACTTATTTTCTGCATTTTAAATAATATTAGATTGATTAATGTTTCAATTGACAATCAAAATTCATTCATAATTTTCGAGATATGTCCCAGATCTGTTTTGAGTGCTATCTGTCTAACTATCTGTCTAGCTGTCTGTCTAGCTATATGTCTAGCTATATGTCTAGCTATCTGTTTAGCTATCTGTCTATCCATCTGTATATCTATCTGCATGTCAGTTTATTTATCTTTTTTATCTATCTGATTATATATCCTATCTGTCTCTCCGTTTATCTATATGTGTATGTGCCTATCTGTTTCTCTGTCTATTTATCTGTCTATCTATCTGATTCTTCCGTTTATTTGTAAATCTTTTCATTTTTAGTTCAATATTAACTTTCTTTTAATTGAGTGTGCAACCCCTGTACCACGCTAATTTTAATTATATTAGATCCTAAATCTACACTCCACTCTTTCTAATTATAACTTAATCGTTTGTTTGTTAAATGGCCTAATTCACACTGATCTAAACAGTTTTGAAAATTAGAATCAAAGCTCTTTATTTCTCTAGTTCTCTAGTTCTCTGGTTCTCTGGTTCTCTGGTTCTCTAGTTCTCTAGCTCTCTAGCTCTCTAGATTTTTTCTGAAAATGTACGGATTTTTTCAAAAAAGTTTGGTCACCCTGAAATTATTTAAGTTGAGACTTTTCGTTGCATCACTAATATCATGTTAGAATTTAGCATGATTACTTAGACTGGTTTATGGGCCGAGAAGCCAAGATTAAGTTTTATAAGGCTTCAAGTGCTTTAAGAGCACAAAATAAAAAAATGATATGATCACCACTTACAAAATCTTAAATGAGTGAGTGCCATCTCACGACCACTTGTTAAACATAATAACCATTCAGAGATTGAGTTTTACAAATATTCCAATTTTAAACATGAAACATAACATTTATGAATTGAGTTTTTTTTTGAAGATTTTGTGTTTCGTATCCCAAGGATCCTTAAATATCCCAGAATAGAGATGTTTGCTGATTGGTCGTGTACAATACTTGTACACAATAGAACATGCTGTTGAAAATTTTAGCTGATAATCTATCTCCGTAACTCTCTTATCTCTGCTATATAAATCTAGCCTGGTAGTTGCCTGGGGGATATTCCCCTCCCCGTTTACTGGACGACGGGAAGACAAAATTTTGGTCTCGAGGGATTAGACCTCCTAGTTACCCAGACTAAATATGTCTCAGATTACAATTTTTGTTTGCAAATGCAGGATAAGGTTATTAGAAAGGCCTACAGCACGATCATTTAGCTGAAGACTGTAAGTTTTGGTGAGGACTGCTCTTGTATTATGTGTGCCAAGTTTAAAGGTCGGGTAGAGGACGTCATTGTAGTTTATGGTGGTCATATTTGATGAAATATATGCAATCTATTCCATACACATTAACAAGATGTGAACTCATAAATTATATTTCTAAATAGTTTTGATAGATCAAAAAATTGTTTTAACAGTTCCCATCCTTATCACGCATACTGTAGACATTAAGCTTGATAGTGAATAAGCATGAATACTGAATAGGCATCTTCAGGCATTTTTAAAAATCTGAAATATTTTTTTTTAGGTTTTATCCCACAATCTTGAAAAGTATGATCTGGACGAGGAAACCCTTCAAAGGTTTAAAGCAGGACCCGCAGGCAAGGTTCTGCAGAGGAGACACAAGAAATAACAAGATTTTCTCAATCAGAAAACTAATTCAGATGACAAATATAAAACTTAGATTTATGTATATTTTCTCTCAAATTCTATTTTCAGATCTAAATATGTCTTCTGGTAAAAAGAAGGGTATACAATGTGCCTGCTGCGGATCCGACTGCTATGAAAGGTAATTGGCCTGAAGCAGGATTCAAGAGTTAACTTCTGTTTGACTTTCTGCACCTAGATGTGGTAATACATTTAAAATCATATTTATCATATGTGTTGTTACTAGCTGAAGACCCCGGCATTGCCCTTGAAATTTTTTGTTTAAATTTTGATAAAAAAAAATTCGAAACTATTTTTTTTTTTGAAAAAAAATGCCGAAATTTATTTAGCTAATGTTACTTCTCGGGCACCCATGGGTTCCCTTAACAAATTTCGCGCCATTCGGTCCAGCCGTTTGGCCTGCTATGGCATAAATATATATGAGCGAAGAGCTTCATTATATAGATTATTATTTATTAAGAAAAGCAACTCGTTTGCAATTAAAATGTATTGAATATTATTTTTATGAAAACAACCATGACAGAAACATAAGAAAAGAAGTGAGTATTGTGGAAAAAAAGAAGCAAGGGTTGAAACCCTTTATTTTGTTTAGTGCTGAGCTCCGGGTAGTTTGTGTTGAATGCGAACCAGAGATGGATATTTGTCTAGATTGCTTTGCAGGAGCTGTTACAGTTGGTCAACATAGACCATACCATAAATACAGGTTAGATCCTTTACAGTTTAGATCCTACCATACATACAGGTTAGATCCTTTAATATATACAAGTTGGATCCTTTACATGGTGACAGGTTAGATCCTTTAAATCGTTGCAGGTTAAATCCTATACATTGTTAATCACACGTTAGATCCTACCATACATACCATACATAAAGGTTAAATCCTTTACATGGTTACAGGTTAAATCCTTTACATGGTTACAAGTTAGATCCTACAATACATACAGGTAAGATCTTATTATAGAGACCGGTTAAATCCTTTACATGGTTACAGTTTAGATCCTACCATGCATACTGGATAGGTTCTTTAATACATACAAGTTAGATCCTACCATAAATACAGGTTAGCTCCTTTACATGGTTACAGGTTAGATCCTACCATACATACAGGTTAGATCCTTTAGAGATGGTTACAGGTTAGATCCTTTACACAGTTATAGGTTAGATCCTACCATAAATACAGGTTAGATCCTCTATGTGGTTACAGATTAGATCCTACCATACATACATGTTATATTCTATTATAAAAACAGGCTAGATCCTATCATAGAGACAGGTTAGATCCTATCATGAATACAGGTTAGATCATATCAAAGAGACAGGTTAGATCCTGCCCACTATATAAGTCAGATTCTACCAAAGGTTCAGGTATGCATGGCATTTTATCCTCGGAATTTTTGCTAATTTATCACTTTGTTTATGCGTGATAACACCAAATGTGTACTATAGTATCAACAATGTATACTACAAATTGTAAATGCAAATAAAAACAAAGGTAGGAATTTGACAAGACAAAGATAAAATGTGCAAGTTGTACTGAATGGCATACGTTAATTTATACAATTTTAAATATATTAAAGTATTCATTTATGTTACATCAACAAATTATATTACATTACAAATAGTATAGTTACATCTATGTTTTAAAGTCTCAACTTTAAGAAAAAAGCAGTTTTAAGATTTTGTTGGGTTCAAGTAAAGCTCTGTTTGTACGTTTGTGTTACCTAGAAATTTTATTGTATTGGTCAAACAGACCCAGATAGCAACCCTTGAACTATACAGGATGCAATACGCGTACTATATGTTATAACTCAAATGCGTATTTCCTACAGATGGCAGCAGTGGGAGAAAGGAAAATGGAAAGTAATAAATTTGATATAGATGTCCCTTGTTTCAATTGTTCTCAGAGGTACACATATGAGTTGTCTGCTACAAGCAATTTAGGCAGGAGGTATCTATTGTTTTTCTTATTATATTATATTTGGTTTTCAGAGAGTCTCCATAAACGGAGCTTTGTTGGGCGGATCGCTTGGTATAAGTTTTCTCCCTAGGTTGACACGGTTCGGTCAACCCCGTGGATACGTTTCGGCGGCTAGGATCGCCGACCCCTATTTCATTAAATGATGGGTTGTCCTTTAATAATAATAATAATATACATTTTTCAGATTTTAGATTAGTTAGATTATACCATTAATGAAGTGCAGCTTAGATCCTGTTTTGCAGTTCATCAATCAATTTTCCTAATAATCTTCGCATTGTTAAGGCATAAATTGCCAATTCCCTCCGCATGAAAGTTACACTTGTATGAATTAAATAGTTTGTTTTCTCTAGGTTTGAGGAGAGCACCAGGTTTCCTATTCTAACTGGAGACTGGAATGCTGGAGAACTGTTCCAGCTTCTGGAAGGAATAGAACAGTTTGGGTAAACTTAAGAAACTAGAAAATAGTAAAATATATTTTTCTAACTCTTAATAAAGATCCAAAAAGAGAGCTTTTGAACCATTTAGAGAAGTATTGAACATGAAGAGTTGGTCCTTTGTTCTATCTAAAAATTAGAAAACGACTCCCTGATTTTTTACTTAAACCTATCAATAATATGCTCCAATATTTAAGAATAACAACAAGTTTCAAACTTTCGTTTCTCAGATATACATTTTAATGTACTGATGCAAATCATTAAAAACCTCCCTTAAGTAGGGAAGGCATTGTTTTGAGGTCAGTTTTTACACATTTAAGTTTTGTTGGCTTCAGAAATACTCTAAAACAATCTGAAATGTTTAACGCAAAGCAAAATCTGAATTTCTATAAAGTTTGCTTTTATATTCTGGTTGAGCCTCTTAAAAAAAGTAAATAACCTTGAATTACCTCATAACGATGCTCATTATATAGTATGTACGTAATGATTTTCTATATTCTAGATACGGGAATTGGAACGATGTATCACGTGATGTTGGAACCAAGGGTCCGACTGAATGCAGGGATGCTGTTAATCAAAGTTTTGTCGATGGTAAACAAATAAACATCTACAATCTACAAACTATTAAGTTTTGTTTTGAGGGGAGAAATGCAGTTTTTTTACTGAATAAACGCCACCCCACTCATAGAACCTCTATCTAGGTTTTACTCACGACTGCTGTCTCAACTCCTCTAACCCTCAAGGATGTCACCATTATACAGGGTGTCACAAAAAAACGATCTTTAAGACATTGTAGCACCCGCTATGGTTCAATTTGAAAGGACGAGAGACATGAACAATGTAAAGATCACAGTGTAAAGACATATAGTGGTGCCATTCTGGAGGGTTTGAGGAGTTGAGACAGCAGCCATGAGTAGAACCTAGATAGAGGTTCTATGAGTGGGGTGGCGAAAGCTGGTCATTTTATAATATGATATTTTAGCATCTTTTTAGCAGAGCTTAGAATAAGGTTAGACATATATATATATATTTGTATAAATATGGAGCACGTCTATACATGGTTGAGAACTTGTAACTCTTGTATGATGAGGGGGGAAGGCGATTGGATTGCGAATTTATGTTTTCTTGTTCCCGCATTTCCTTTTTCTGTGGAAGACGATATATAGTCGCTACAATATGTTGATTTGACATAGCTTCACTGAAAATTCATTGTTAAGTGTTTTTTTCTAAGAATACTAACATTTGATTCCTTCCTGTTCGTAGAGTCAACTGTGAAATGAGATTAATCTAGGTTTATTATCGTTTATTTGCAGGACCGATAGGAAGCAGAACCTATGAGGAGAAGAATAGAGGAAATGCTGTAGATCACACACCTAAACCTGCTCCTACTGCAGGGAAGAAGGAAACAGATTTATCTATAAATGATATGCTGGCTCTAGGCTGGTTACCAAACAGGGACGAGTTCGAGGTTGAGCACTGTAACGAGGCTGAAACCCTAGTTTCCTCCCTGGACCAGGGGAAAAACGACGAGGTGGAGGACGAGGTTGAATCCGCTCTCAAACTATCCCAGGTTGAGATGTATCAAGCTAAACTCAAGGATAGAGAACGTAGAAGACAGACTGCAGCAGACCATGATCTCATTACACAATTTTTTATAGAACAAAATACATATAAACCAAAGAAGAAAGACGGAAAACCTGATCTTTTAGATAGATTAAAACTTGTTTCGAACTTTCAAACAGTTCCAGAACACAAGACGTTCATGTCAAACATGGGTCGGGAGAAGGAATTAAAGTCAAGGATAAAAGAACTGAATAGATATAGAAAAAATGGAGTGACCCGGAGCAAGGACGGAGAAGAATTTGATTTACAAAGATTGCGGCGGAATAAAATAAAAACGGAGCGTAAGAAAGCTTTAGAGGCGGGCATTGATATCCCGCCCTCACTGCTGGAGCATCCTCAGGGTGGGATAGATCTAGATACAATTACTAATATTTCAATTCTTCCAGGTCAGTTTATCAACCTGTATAATAAAGCTCTTCGCTTATAAATATATATATATATATTTGTATTAATGCCCAACGGCTGGACAAAATTGGCTGACATTTTTTAGGAAACCCATGGCTATCGCGGGGGTTTCATTGGTTAGAAAATTTTTCAGTAGATAATATTTTTATTTAAAGACCAACTTCAGAATAGGTTTTATTGATTAATTGATTGTTGTTCTAGGATATGATTTACTGTCATTAAATGAGAAGCGCCTCTGCTCTAGCCTTCGTCTTCATCCAAACTTGTATAATGCCTACAAAACCTGCATCATCCGGGATAATGCAATGAAGAGAAGAGGACACATTATCCGTCCTTCCAACCCCTCCGGACTAGATAAACTACATAGAAAGAAGATAATGAACTTCCTTCTCCAGTCTGGCTGGATATCAGCATACTAAATTACACAGAGTACAAAGAGGCTGAACCTCGGGATTTTTATTGTTTACAGAATCAATATATCAATAATGCAAGTAAAAAAGTGTTCAGAAAATCCGAGTTTGGTAGCATTGGACTTGATAAAAGAAGGCTCTTTGACACCGACCGGTTTTTGTCATAATGATTTTTATCAAATTCATTTTTGTTTTAATTTACATAGAGTGTATCTGTATATTGTATACTATTATTAGTTTTAGAAAGACTAAACTAAACAAAAGTGGGTTTTTGTGTGAGAATCCTTCTAATACGCTTGATTTTTTGAAACTTAAATTTGAGGATAAATGGTAGATTCCTTCATTTTAGTCATCCCTGCAGGGTACAACCACCACGGGACATTTAAGATGCATTAAGTTAATCCGCGGGAATACATTAGATGGAGTTCAACGTTTGATCCCGATATTCACAACACTTTTGACTTCAAAATTATTTTTTTCTTTCTATTTTACAGATTAATTAAGCCTAATATTCTTAAAGCTGGAGGCGCAAAATCTTAGTTTTACTAAAAATTAGCATCATTTTGTCAACAAAATATGTATGTATAGCTTTGCTCGATCTTGTAATGATTTTATTATTTAAATATTTAAATTTACCAGCAACCATTTTTTCTCTGTACAAAAAGAAGATAAATGGTTTTAGATTTAAAATTTTTTCACTTTTTGGTAATAGATTTGCGAAAATGTTAATTAGTTAGACATAATTTTGGAAAGCAAACATTTTTCCACAATTATCTGTTCTAACCATAAAAGAACGTGTTGAAATACCGAGAATCTTTTGTTCTATAAGTTTTTGAATTTAAAGCAATCGAATATGAATTTAGAAACTTGCATCATTACACCGAAGGTTATTTTTATTATTATATCATAACATTGACCCTAAGATTAATTTTGTTAAGTTTCTAACCAAAATATGATTGTATCTGTATTTAAATAACATCTAGGATTGTTTAGGATTTATTTTGGTGTGTCGTTATAGTATTAATTTATAGTATGTTTAATTCTCCCTACAAACGCAGTACACTGAATGTAAACAAAGTTCTAAATGCTTCCTACTGAAACCTAAACCATGAGCATGACTGTAAGTCTGTACCCGGATCCGATCCTTTGGATAGAAACATTGTTCAGATCAAGGTACTAATGCAAGGAAAGTTAATTGCGGTCGCATATACTCATGCGTACTTAATTGAAACCAGTTCTGGGCGGACTTAAACAAGAAAAGATGCATCAGTGTTCTTCTAGTATCCGAAGAGGTTAAAAGCATTTAATTTTGATAATTTTGAAAATTCACTTTTTATTTTCATGTTTCGGATTTTGCAATGTTTAATCTTCTTCAAGGCATTTACGTTGTTAGATAAGGATTTGCGTCGAATTCATTGAAAAGTTTGTAAACAAAATTTTTATTCATAATAATAAATATGTAGATTCTATAGAATTGTCTTGATACTTCTAGGGAATATGGAATATGATAAGAGAATAACTTAAATTGATAGTTTCCTAGGAGAACGGCTATTTATTTCCTGATATAGGGGGGTTGTTTAATTTTAAATCTTGAAAGCTTCAGAAAATTTTCATTCCCAGGGGCGTATAAAGGTAATTTCTGGAGAGGGGGGGATCACTCATTCTTTTATACTTTCAGGGGGGGGGGGGGTGTTAGCCCATTAGAAGCGACAGTTTTTAACTTACTCGGAGGGTAACCCCCACCCCCCTGTTTGGCCTCTTATTAATCCTAATAAACGTTTATCAGACACTGACTCCTTACTTATCCCACTGGGTGTGTTCTAATAAACATGAAAAGATCAAAACAGTCTATTTCGCCTAAATTGTTCATAGCTTGAATATAACTTTTAATACAATAAAAGCTTCCACTATGATATTCGAAATTTGTTGACCATAAGTATTGTATGTCTTAAAATTTAGTTTTTTTCAGTTTTTTATGTTTTGTACGTATGTCCTATTTTCAGATAGTTTTAGTTTAAGAAGAAGAATCCCTGTATTCCCCTGTATTGGGGCAGGTAGAGGGGGAGAGAGCGAAGTGTACACTGTAAACCTAGTGATTATATTGTGATCTACTATTCCGCTGTCGAACCAACCTAACCAACCTCAACTACTCAGAAGTCTCGGAAACCATGTAAATATTGAGAACGAGTGAGCAGAGAAGGATGGAGCAAGCTAACGAGGGACCTGGAGAAGTCCGAGATCCTATTCTTAATGCTAGAGATAGATTATTTCACTCTTTATTCTTCAGATTATCCCTTGCATATGCCAGGTAATATAAACCTTCTATCCGATATTTTAGGACTAATGATAAAAAAATAATTTAGGATAAGAAAATTAATAAACAAAATGTTTATTTTTAATAAATTAATCGTCTATTTTTCGCTTAGTATTCTTCAAAAATCTAGAGATATATCTGTTTTTGTTTAGTAATCTACAAAAATCTAGAGATATATCTATTTGTTTAGTATTCTTGCAAAATCTAGAGATATATCTATTTTCGTTTAGTATTCTTCCGAAATCTAGAAATATATCTATTTGTTTAGTATTCTTCTAAAATCTAGAGATATATCTATTTTCGCTTAGTATTCTTCAAAAATCATGAGATATATCTGTTTTTGTTTAGTAATCTACAAAAATCTAGAGATATATCTATTTTCTTTAGTATTCTACGAAAATGTTTCACAACTGCACCCTGCAAACCTTTGTCTGAGTAAGAATAGGAAAGATATCGTCGTTTTCGTTAAAAAATTAAACTTCCTTCCTAATATTATATTTCTGACGTCACGTTTGTGGAGAAACTATGATTTTTATTATTCAATATTATAAAAACAATTCAATATTTTAAATTTAGATCATGTCCGAGACAAGTTAGAAGATTAGTAGAATGTTTAATACTTGTAAAGGTAATACTAAACTAAACCTTTATGAGTGTGTTGCAAGATTTAATTTTTTATTGTTTGCAGAATAAACTTTATATACAGCTTTTTTATTCAGTAAGGAATTAAAATTGTATAGAAATTAAGAAATTTCTTAATTCTAAAGAACAGTAGACATTATACATGGGGGGGGGGGGATTTAGAATATTCTTTTTCCTTGGTGTTCTTCATATTATCTTATATGTAAAATAATGTGAATAACTACTCAGTTTTTTTAATTAATTATAGATCGATAAGTGGATTATGCTACAATTTCTTTTTCATAATGGAACATACATCATATATACTATGTAGGCTGTGATGTGTATGTGTATGCTGGTATACATCCATCTGGTGTATACCAGACAACCAGTCCAGTGTCTGGAGCACCTGGCAGATGTCTGGCCTAGGGACGGAGTTCTCCGGGTAGAAATACAGCGGGGAGGTCCGTATCCAGGGTATGATATTAACACAAGCTATGAGAAGGAGAGAAGGTTGGCGCTCCGGCAGAGAGAACTGGATAATCTTGGAAGCTTGTTCTCCATTATAACCGGAGACTTGTAAGTTAATTTTTTTCATTAGCTTTCTTCCTTATTAATCAATTTCTAGCGCTTGCTATTCTTAAAAGGACATGGATCATATTTGAAATATTTCTTTTCCCCCCATACCCACCAATAAATATTATTTTTCTAATAAATGTTTCAGAAATCTTCTTTAAATGCTTTTATCTCTGAAAAACATATTTTTTGGAGGAAATGCATGATTTTGTGGTGAATATAAATGACATTTTTAGGAGAAAAGAAACCATTTCTAGATTTTAAAGTTTCCAAACTGAAGTCCGATTTTTGTCAACTTCGAAAATTTACATCTTTTCTTTTCCCGAATGCATTTAAATTGGATTTTACAAATTATATATTAATAATAATCAATAACCATGACTTTTTTATTAGAGTGTTTGCTGAGCTGTTAAATTCTGAACATGAAGAAGAGGAACCTGGTGCAGAGGAATCCCAGGTTGAAGAGGTTCAGCTCGGAGATACAAACCTCACTGAACCTGGTTACGAGGAGATTCTTAAATCTGGTTTAATCACCAATAGTTCGGATCAAGACGAGAAGATATCAACTCTAACCTCGACATTGGATCACATGAAGGATCGGTTGCATAGTCTCCAGGAGGTTCTCAAGGAGAAGGATTTAACAGATGAAAGGTTGGATTCTATATCCGAGTACGGACAAGATATAGGAGCCCAGGCAAGTAAACTCAAGACCGTCATTGTCAACATGACCGACGAGCTGAGCGGAGAAGAGGAGAAGCCTGTGTTAGATCAGAAGTCTGACCTGGAGAAACTGTCTCGAGTAGTTTGGCCGGATGATGGTTATATTGTTGAGTATAGTCTGGAGATAGGATTCCTCCGCTTATCTCCGGCAACTAGGCAGAAGCTTAATATTCCGGTTCATATTGAGGTTAGTTTATATTTAAAAATATTTTGAAAATTTGAAAAATTATATTCCTCATTTTCATAATAATCTGAACTTGTTTATATAGTTGAATGCTTTCTGTCTGACTTATATAGTAAATTTTTTATGATGATTATCAGACGTGTGCTATTTGTAAGAGATACTTTTGAAATTTCATCAAATATTTTCAGATTTTAGATCCGAATACAAACACTTGCTTCGGAGACTCGTTTTCCAAGTTTATCCTGGAAAACCTGCTGGGATACGAGGATGTTCTCATGTCTTCTGTAAAATCTCTGGCAGATAAGGAGAATAATAAGGTAATCACAATTCTAGAACAAAACAATCCAATGTTCAATATATAAGTGATTTATAATTTGAACAAAAAGCTGAAAGGGTCGGATTCAGCTGTATGAGGTCCGGGTTGCCCAAAATGAGGCTTTTTGCAATAATTTATTACATAACATTTAAATTGCCCATTGAATTCATTTATTCAGTCAACAGTTGGAACTCATACAACTTCTATTTTAATTTGATTGATTGATTGTTCAGGGTTTTCTACGAAATGTAGTTACCGGAGCTCAGTATCACTTCGTCTCTAAATGGTCTTCAGTCAGTTCATATGTTCCTGCAGCACTCGTCATGATTGTTTTTGTAAGTTTAACAATTAGTTTCGAACCTAGCAAATTTAACTATTCCGTTTATTTTCAATTTATATTTTTTTACCGCCTTTTTTATTATTAATACATTTCACTGTCTTATTTCCAAGATTACCTGCATGAAAAGATGAAATGCTTAGTTTCCTATGTTTTTGTTTGAAATTATTGTTGTTTTCTCCCCTTGACTAATCTGATTAATTATTAACTATGTTTTTACTTTCAGACTATCTCCATATCTATGTTGCTTCGGTATTCTCAACACCAAATATTTGTTTTTATCATCGACCTCCTCCAGGTACAGTGTATACAGTAAACAGTAGACACATATTTTATAAATTATTCAACTTTTTTATTATTAATCATCGACCTCGTTTAGGCAGACAGTAGACACATAATTTAATTAGGGATCATTTTTTCCTCTTTGTAAATCATCCATTTGAAAAAATTTGCTTTCTGTACAAAACAAATTTTTAATAAAGCCTGAAACATTTGATCAAGTTTTTCACTTTACTGTTACATCCAATTCCCTCCATTTCTCATATCTTTGTAATAAAAAATTTCTCTCTTTAAACTAATTTATTTAGATGCTGGAGCTGAATACTAATATTACATTCCCTGCCGCCCCCCTTCTTACCGTGATCCTTGCACTGGTCGGTATGGAGGCGATCATGTCAGAGTTTTTTGAGGTCAGTTTAATTAAAGAGTCTGTAACCGTAACTACAAGTGATTTTCTGTGCAAAGATGGCAATGACCGATTCACATCGATACCCTTGAAACCTCTGTCTGATCAAGTATGAATTATAGATATCAATGTTTTCAGCAGTGCGGATGATGCGGATCCGCACTGGAAAAAAAATTGGATCCGGATCCGGATCCTGGTTATTTCTCCAGAATTTTCAAATTTTTTGTTTTGTTTTTTTCGCTTATTTTTACGCTAAAACTTTATGAACCATTCAGAAATCTGAAAAAATATTTTTGGTCGATATTTTGCCCCTTGGATCCGCATATTTTTACAGATCCGGATCCGGTAAGTCAAAATCTTGCTGATCCGGATCCTAAGCGCAGGTTTTTAGGATTGAAAACTGATTATTTTCAATTGAAGTTTCCCTGTTAAAGAGACTTGCGCTTTTCTTCTGTAGGAACACTTAAAGAATTTATCATAATTAAAAACTTTTGATCGACAATATCTTCCACTAAATTGATCAGCCAAGGTTTCAAGATTTCTTTGAATCGTGTTTTAAGAAACAATTTATTCCTGATTTTTATATTTATTTTCTTAATAATAATATTTAGGATACCACTACGGCATTCTACATAATCTTGTTGGTTTGGTTGTGTGACCAGTATGACTCTGTGTGTTGTCACACTCCGATAACTAAACGATATTGGCTCCGGTTCTTCTACTTGTACCACACTGCCTTCTATGCCTACCATTACCGGTTCTCCGGTCAGTACTCAGGGTTGGCACTTCTTACAATGTGGCTCTTTACTCAGGTTAGTTCCATTAACTGTAGAAATATCATCAAAATCAACATTTTGAGAACCTAAATTAAATCTTAAGCATATTAAGTACATCATAAGCACCAAATGATAGATGCTTCTAATTGATAGATTTACGTCTATATACATTCATATATTCACTAAAGGTATACACCTCCCCCCTGCCCAATTCTACGCTCCACCCAAAAACAAGTTACCTTTAAAGATTTGAATTTTCTCGATTACTTTCGCTCCTTTTGAAAGTCCTGACATTTATTTTCTTTTCAGCACTCGATGTTGTATTTCTTCCACCATTACGAGTTGCCCGTTATACTCCAGCAGGCCCAGATCAGGGATATTCTTATCAGAAACAACGGGCAGATGCCCATCAATGTAACATTAAATAATAACAATAACAACAATGTTAACACAAACAACAACAATGTGATGAACAACAACATGAACGGTGTCCGGCGTCTGCTCAGACCTCGAATGCGTGGGTTTACTCTGGGTGGATTCAGGTTTAGGTTCGGGATTGTTTTTCATGCTTTACAGCATCCAGTCCAGGTATTATGGTGCATAATATATACATTTTATTATTCAAATAAATCTGAGTTAGATTAAAATCTGTTGACAAACTATGCAAATAAAGAAATATTAGAAGAAAAAGCAACTCTTCGAAGAAACAACATTTTTAATTTTTGAATGGAAAAGATTTCACTTTGTCCGATTTATCACATATTCATAAATATTATTAGGCTCCAGCTCCTGCTGCTGCACCTACTACACCTCCGGCTCCGAGAGAAAACTCTCCGGAAAATAATCCTGATCCTGAACCTGGAACTGAACCTGATCCAGCAGTTGTCAGAAGGTGATTTAAACCTAAACATATCCATAGTTAAACAGCTCTGACGATTTTTAAGTTCTTATTTATTGGTAAATGGCAAAAAGCCACGTACTTTATTTATGTTGTCACATAATTTACTAGCATTTAAACGATGATGTTTAGTGCAAGAGATCGTACTTGCATCGAAGTTTAAGAGTTATAGGTTGATAGGTTAGGTTGTGATTAATAATCAAATCTAAACCAGATCGAGTTATAATCTCGTATCTCATTTAATCCTCTACTGCCTTGTATCTCCTCCATCATACAGAAATAAAGGAGATTTTTCAAAATCCACCTTTGGTTACCTAAAGAGATCTTCTTATCTCAGGGATAAACTCATCCCAGCCAGAATTCCAGATCCTCCTAGAATGAGGCCAAAGAGGCTAATACCTGATATGAAACCTGTGGTTTAAATTGCCCAACTCTAAGACCAGCAAGAAGATTGAGATTAATGGAACTTTCAACTTTAAGACCATTATATAGGACAGACAACAAGATCTTTAGATTAAAGAATGAGAGAACATATTGGTTACATTAGAAATCTCCATTCAAAGCAGCCTACAGGAGAACATTTTAACCTTCCTGGACATGAACTCTACCATCTAAAAGTTAGCGTTGTAGAGAAGGTTTGGGACCTTGTAAGAATTTTACTTGAAGTACGAGAATCTAAATACATCAGAGATTTTATGACTGAACTCAGAGAATGAACAGAAAAACAATTGTTTTTATTTAATTGTAAACTGTAATTCAGTATTATTCTTTAAAAGGTTTAATTACCCCTCCTTAAACAAGCCTCCCCCACCCTGATTTACATAAAAGTTCGTTAATTAGATCGACCCCCACCACCGCGCCGCTTTATACACATACATAAACAGTTTGTTTTTATCTTCATGACAGAAAAAATCTCAAGGAATAATAATTGTCTTAAAACATTCTTTAAAAAGTGAATATTTGCAAATTATCTTTTTTCCATCTCATGATCTGAGTTCGTTTCCCTTTTGTCCATTTGACAGCCCATTTTTTTAAATAATATTTTTTGTTAGTTTTTTTTTGTGGTTTTTAACATTTTTTATTTTCGATTTTGATGGTTATTATATAAGTTCTACTGACGAGTTTCAACCCAGACCGAAATATATTTTCAACATAATGTGGAACGAACATCTACTTTTTTACTCTACAGTGGTTTGGTCCATCACCATCAACGAATTTTAATTAAATCTCAACTGCACCAAAAATGTCCCAAATGTCTTTAAGGGAGTTTAAGCGTAATACCAAGTGACCCTTCATGCAAAGATGGAATGCCTGATTCACATAATGTGGAATGTTTCAAAGCTTACAGATTCCAATGTTTTCCTGCAGTAGAAATGCGTAAGTCACTATTGTGGAGAAACTGCAATTTAAAAAATTAAGGTTTCAAAATTATAGAAATTGAAATTTTATTCATACTTGATCTGACAGAGGGTACCGATGTGAATCGGACAATTTCATCTTTTTATGGAGGTTCACATGAAATCACATTAACTTCTCTCTCACTTCACGAACTATATTATTTTTTAAGTATTTTTATTTGAAATAATTCCTAGAATATCTTTTGTTCTATATTTTGAATGTTGTCTACTGAACCATGTTACGAATTGACGCATGGTTAAACTTTATGCATTATATTGTTAAATCTGAAACCAAAGATTAAAAATTCATTCAAATACAAATGTTTAAGATGACGCTACGCAGGTTTTAACTAATGAATACATTGTTTAAAGATATGTTGCCGAAGTTTCTGCAAGCGCAATGTCAGTTGAACAGCTCGCTAGGGAGGGACGGTTAGATCTAGAGCAGAGTAGAGAACAGGCTGCACAGGAGGCGGAGCAATGGTCCAGGTAGGATTAATATACCCAGGAGGCGGAGCAATGGTCCAGGTAGGATTAATATATTCAGGAGGCGGAACAATGGTCCAGGTAGAATTAATATACTCAGGAGGTGGAGCAATGGTCCAGGTAAAATTAATATACTAAGGAGGTGGAGCAATGGTCCAGGTAAAATTAATATACTAAGGAAGCGGAGCTGAAAACTCTTATATTGGATATCCTTAATCCCGATTGCTAAATATCTTTATCCACCGTGGACTCTTGATTTTATTCTTAATCCTCGCTTTTGGATATCCCTGCTGGATTCCGACCAATTTATAAAGTTCTCGGCTTCTGATTGGCTGTTCGGTTTCTGCAATCAACACTTAGGGGTGTACGAGGTGGGGGGCCGTGCCCCTCTGCCCCCCCCTACGCGTGCCCCCATATCATTATTTATAATTATACAATATGTATCGTTTCTATGAAAATTTACATATTTTTGAAGAAACTTTTCCATCTTGTTTCACCCATTGAACTCACCACAGTTTTAAGAGGAAGTGTCTGATGAGTCCACTTAAGAAAATTACATAAATAATTAATTAACACATGTTATATGGAAGTGTGTATATGATTGAATAGTTTACTTAGTAAAAAAAGGTGTCAATATTTTTTCAAAAAGGGGTTTTTAAGGGGGGGGGGGCACCCAAAAAAATTTTGCGCGCCCCCTTCACAAATGCTCTCGTACGCCCCTGTCAACACTAATTGGTTGCATTTTAGACACTTCCTTTCCTTGATATTATTGTAAGAATTAATTGGTCTACAGACTGCAGATAAATAAAAGGAAGGTACAAGCATTAATCTCGATATTCACAATTCTAAAGTTTTTAGCTCAAGTAGAATAAGTATACTCGGGAGATAGAGTAGGTGTCCAGTTAGGGTTAGTATACATCAGGAGGCGGAGCTATGGTCCAGGTAGGATTAATATAGATTAAGTAGGTTTATTAAGTATGTGGAGTAGGTAGTAGAATTGTTTTTATCTAATATACGTTTATTTGTTTCTAGGGAAGAGGCTGAGTCTGTAGAGGAGGAGGATGAAGTAGAACAGGAACCTAGCCATGATAATAATGAGATTACTCAACCTGGATCCAGTCCCGGAGAAACTGATCCAGACCAGAAGGAGAAGGGTTCAATTGAAACTAATCATTCCACAGAGACAAATATTACATCCAGCTCAGATACCACCGAGTCTGGGAGAGAAGCTCTAAACCCGGCTGATCTGCAGGAGATTAGATCCAACCTACAGGATGCTGCTCGGGAAGCTTCAGATCTCCTTCGAGATGTTCAATATTAATTCTAGTCCGGGATGTGATGACGTGCAATAATATTTTGTTCACATCTATCCGACAAATTTAGATTATTATTCTTGTGATCTTACGTTGATTAAACTTACAATAAATTCAGCCTGTTACTCTAGAATCAAATAATATATATAAATTCTAATATCTCAAATATTTTATATTTGTATGCAATGTGCACGAACTACAATATTAATGTGTTGACAATGAAGACCTTGAACTGTTGGGATTAATTGAGCATATTTGTATCAGTTCAACACAGCATCATATGTTTATCAAATCAAATGTATTATTAAACATCTTACGAGGCTGGATCTATTTGAAAAACTTTTTCCTGAGGCAGAATATTTACATAAACCAAGTTGCAAAATTTTTATCCCCCCTCCCGACAAATTGAGATTAGCGTTAAACATAATCATGATTGTGTAAACATGCTCTGTAATGTTTTCTTTCTGTAAACCCGGGGGAAATGTAGCCACCCTACTTATACTATATCAAGTCTGGGCTGGGATTGGTGTATCGGACTAGACCTCTACCTGCCAAACAAGAATTCAGCCAATAGGAGCGTGGGAAACACTTTCTCAGCATAGCTGGTGTTTAGTCATAAGTCAACCCTAGCCCAATTTTGTCCCCGAAATTTTAAATACTAACCCATTTTTTGTATTTATATAGTTATGACCGTGAATTTAGTTTCAGAACTATGGTCGTTGTTTTGAGGATTTTTGAGTTACCCTTGGCTTGTAGATAGCAGTTCTCTAGTTATTGCAGTGTAAATATTAAACATGAGTGACAATTAAAGAATCAACATGTCTAGGCTTGTCGACTACTTTGTGATCTGTGGTTACGACCACAACAAGGTTAGAAGTACTAAAGAGAGTTGCTCCCAAGTGATCCAACGGTTCCCTGAGAAGGACTGGCCGGATATACCCTTCATCCATGGGTTGGATCTCTTCTGTCAGCCAGGGGGTTGGGTTCTCTCATCGGAGAGACAGGAACCTAAATTCTTCATCTCCATCCTGACGGATGTTGAAGGAAACCGTCTCCATCTACCCTGTCTAACCTTTAGTGAAGCAATACCTAAACAAGATCTCGGTAAGTTATTCTAAACTAAATCTTGGCCCAGTTTCCCCAGATTCAGGGGACGGGACTCCTTATACCAATGTATATCTGTTTTGGGAACGACTTCCAAATTTTCTCTTTGTTCGGCGGTCTCTCAAAAGATATCATAGGTTGGCGCATATCAGTCTTTTCCAACCTATGATAGGTTTCAATTTAACTATTATGACTGAAAGTTATGTTACTCAAGCCCAATTTTGAGAACTTTTGCAACCAAATTCTATTTATATTCTTAATTTGAGTTATTGAAAGGTATACCGGGGGGGGGGGAGTTATTACATGTTAAAAAATTTTTAACTACCTGCTTTTGTGGAGTAAATGTCTCCGTCACTATTTTCAGATTTTGCATAGCATAAATAACTTTTACGATCATCTGAACTCCATGTTTGTCTAAAATTTTAACCTTCCACCCCCCCCCCTGAAATATGTGTCAAACCTGGAAAATAAAGTTGGAAAAGGGCACTAAAAATTCGGCGTTTTTATTTTTTAAAACGATGCGTCTCATATTTTAATATATGAGATAACCCTAATTTTTATAAATAAAATCCTGTTCTAGAGTTACGAGGTGTGGACGAGGAGTTTGAGGATGTGGATAAACCTGGAATGTCTCTGGTCTCCACCCGAGCCTCATCACTACCTAGGCATGCGATACCCGGTATCTCCCTGCCTGTGGACGACAGTGTTATGTTTGCCCCGAAGTGCCTGGCTCTCATCTCCAAGCATGATATGCCGGAGCTGTTCAGAAACTGCCTCGGGCTCATCTACACGGTATACGTGGAGAGAATGGTTTCTCCGGGTGGAGAACCGATACGATTGGAAACTCTGGTTGGAAACCTGGTTGGTAACGTGACAGTTCCTAGTCCTGGTTCCAGTCCTCTCAAGTTTTCTCTAGGTGCTACAGATAGACAGATGATCCAACCCCCTCTATACCCTGATATGCCTGTCACGGGGTGTAGGGTTGCGTTGATCTTCCAGCAGTTAGGAATCAGTAACGTGTTGACCTTGTTTAGTGCTGTCCTTACGGAGCAGAAAATTCTCTTTCATTCCCAATCCTTCTCAAGACTCACAGACAGCTGCACCGCTCTAACAGCTCTCATTTATCCCATGAGATACAGTCATACTCTTGTTCCAGTCCTTCCTAGTTCAATATTAGAGGTCCTATCCAGTCCTACTCCTTATATTATAGGTAAATCAAAATACATATGTTGTGATGATTTTAATTCTAAGCAAACCTAAAAAAAAAAAATATATAAAAATAGTAATTATCAACAAGGATGAGTAAATGGACCTTAACAAAAAAAAAATCTTACAAATTGTACAAAACCCGTTAAGTACAAAATAAATCAAGTATATCCCGAAAATTAAAAATCATTGTTAATTAATTCGGTTATCCTAAAACTATGCTATTAAAGTTCCTCCAGTGCAAAATAAGTTCAATTTAATACAACACTTTTACAGTTAATCCATGCAAAACTAATAAAGAAAATAATTCTAAATATATATTAATTGTATTCTATTTTAGGTGTTCATTCCGCCCATCAGGAGCATATTGGTAAATAAAGAGACAATTAATGTTCAATATTTCGAAGCCTGCATGATATTTCAAATTTTCCTGTTTGACTCATAAAAATTATTTTTAACGAGTTTTTCTCTCTTATCACATTCAACCTTTTTTCCAAGATAAGATATTTTAAGATCAATTACCTTGTTATTGAAAATCTTTTTTTATAAAACCAAAGAACAACAGCTGATTATAAGAACATTACTTTCTTTAATTGATAGTTGATTCATTTTGCAGCTGACCTGTTGGACGTAATTATAGTGGATCTGGATGGAGGTTGCCTTACTATCCCGGAGAATATGACCATACATCAGGTTCGACAAGAGTGACAACCTTTTCTTAGACATAATTTCTTGTAAAACTAATCCGTTCTTCTTAGATATAGTTTCTTGTAAAACTAAACTGTTCTTCAGGAAAAATTCATAATTTGAAACTGTTTCTGTAACTTAATTATTCCAAATAGCCTTAATATTTTTGAAATTTTTCACTTAATTTTCTGAATTTTTTAGATAATGGAACCTCTGCGCTCCAGAGTACAGTTGGAGCTCTCAATATGTTTACACCCGGAGCTTGAACGAGCGGATAATGCATTCCCTGGTAGTGAGAACCTAGATAAACCAAGTGAGAAACTAGACAAGGAACTGAGAGCTGTTATGCTGCGACTGATGGCCCAGTTGCTCCAGGGGTACAGAACCTGTCTAAACCTTGTCAGGATACATCCAGTACCATTCATAACCTTCCATAAAGCTGCCTTCCTCGGGTTGAGAAATCTATCCCAAGACTGTGATTTTATCTCCAGGTTCCTAGATTGTATGTTCTTTAATGAATTTATCAGTACTCGAGGTCCACCCTGGAGAAGGTGCGATATATTTGACGAACTCTACGCAAATATCGGAGAGCAGGTGAGCGCAGAAACCTTGGATCCTAGGAAAATTATGGTTAACGTTCGTGAACTGTCGAGACAAATCTTTGATAACGAGAACTACTGGAGTATGAACTCTCAGAACGGTCAAATATTCAACCAGCGAATTCCTCTGCCGACCGAAGGTCACATGATGCGGGTTCACCAGCCAATATTTCCGCTCCTAGACAAGGCGCTCGTGCACAAAATAATCAACGAGGGGAGCGCGCACACACAGCTCAGATCTGAGACATCCAAATCATCTAGTCAAAACAAGTTGGTTCCCATGGGACAAAAGCAGGACGTATCCGGTGTGTTTACAGTGTCCGGGATAGTTCCTAACTCTGCCCGGAGACTGGAGGTTCTCCGGTCCTGTATAACAAATATATTTGAAAACAAGATTTCTGATGCAAAGAAAACATTCCCAGCGGTCATTCGAGCTCTTAAATCGAAGGTAAACAAATGTAATAAAATACCAAACCGACAAAATCTCCCTCTCTTTCAGGCTAAAAATAAAATTACACTGAGTGAGACGTTAAATTAAATCAAAGAGTAGAAATTGTCTGAAAAAAAACAAAGGCAACAATGCTAAAAGAGCCCCCCCCNCTGAGCTGAAAACTTTAGAATTAGATATCCTTAATCCCGATTACTTAATCTGAGTATCCAATGGACACACTTGATTTTCTTCTTAATTCGGTCTTGCTTGGATATAGTAGAGAAAAATCAAAAAACGGTTTTTTTAATTAGAGAGTCCCTCCTGTTTCTGTATATAATCTTAAATGGCGCAAAAATTTCAAATTTCTCGGCTTTATATACGCGACTCTGACAGGGTTGAATTTTATACATTTTTCAGGATTCAAGTACAAGATTAGGTTAGTCTTGATATTAAGAAAAAAAGAGGATCAAGCATTAATCTCGATATCCACCATTCTAAAGTTTTCAGCTCTTGTTATCTAGGCAGCAAGATTAGCACTATGTGAGGAGCTTGGAACCCACGTGAAGAGGAACCAGGTGATGCTGGAGCATCATCAATTCGATCTTGTGGTCAGGCTCATGAACGCAGCACTCCAGGTATAAAGATTCTACAGGATGTTCCAAAAATATATGGGAATTGGCAAATGGAATCTATTCATTTTGAGATTTCTAAAATGTTCTGCCATTTTACTACCTTTCAAATTATGAAAATTTTCGAGTCATTTTAAACGATTTAAAGGGCTAATACCTGTTCTTTTGGGGGTCACCCTGTATAATCTGTCAATTATTTAGACGCTAGACCTAACTTTTGAAGGACGTGTGCATATCTCTTAAGCTCCGTCTTAATATTTTTATCCATACAACAAAGTGTAACCTTGAAGTGTGTTTACATCAGGCACTGTCATGTATCAATGGATATTCTGTTCAGTATTTGACAAGATTCAATATTTATTCAGGGTTTTGCACAAACAATCTTTTAGGGTTGTCTTATTTATTTATTTTGGGGGGAATCTGTCTAAATCTGAATGGGTTATATTGGTGAATAGTTCCTGAATTAACCCTATCCTATTGGGGGTATTTGTCATTTTGATTAAATAATTTACTAAATCTAGCCTTTTTATTGCAAATTAAATTTTTAGTTTTTTGCATCTATCACATCACATTAAGATTTTAACCATGAGGTTTTAGGTTTGTCGATTTTTTTTTACTCAATGAAGATTCAATACTGTTAATGTTCAGGATGATTCTGATATTGATATGCACGGAGTTGCTGCTGCTCTCCTACCTCTCTCTACAACCTTCGGACGTAAACTCTGCACCGGGGTTATACAGTTCGTATATACACTCATACAAGATCATGCAGTCTGGCAGAATATTCAATTCTGGGAGTCAGCCTTCTATACTGATGTTCAGAAGGGAATAAAGGATTTGTATCTAGCAATAGAAGACTCTAGTTCGGAGTATTCTAACTTTGATGTTGTCTCCGCTCAGTTGTCTGTGGAGAAACATACTGGACCCAGAGCAAGGGAGATTAGGAAATCCGCAATTATTTATCCTGAGGATCCGTCTGTATTGGAGATTGCAGCTAGTGAGCTCAAGAAATGGAATAGCCTTGAGGATAGGATTAAACAGGAACGGGTTATTAAAGAGGAGCAGACAGTTTACAGCCAGGCAATTCATTACACAACCAGAATGGTTTGCCTTCTTATTCCAATGGATTTTAAACCTGAGAGAAACAATAAATCTATTGTTGATCACTCCAGTGATCTAGTTTCAAACTCTATTTCAAACAGTGTGGCGGAGTCAGACTCTATTGATGCAGAGTCAGGGTTTGATGATACCGAACCTAATGATAACGGTCACACGGTAACAAAATTTGTAACGAGGTTTGTTGACAAGGTTTGCGGAGAAAGCTCCGTGTCTGAGAATCATCTGAAAGCTCTTCATCAAATGGTTCCCGGTGTGGTTGCTATGCACCTGGAAACAATGGAAGCGGTTTCTAGAGAAGCTAAACGATTGCCTCCGATACAGAAACCTAAGTTCCACTCTCCAAGTCTCCTTCCCGGTGAAGAATTGATGTGTGATGGATTGAGAATATATCTCCTCTCCGACGGACGGGATGAACACTCAGGAGGAGCTACGGGAGGTCCAGCTCTCCTTCCAGCAGAGGGAGCACTCTTCCTTACCAACTATAGAATAGTTTTCAAGGGAAATCCTCTGGATCCATTCGTAAACGAACAATCTATAGTTAGAGCTTTCCCGGTAACATCTTTATCTCGAGAGAAGAGGTTTACTCTGCACGAGTACGTTAGCGAGATCGACCAGGTTCTCAAGGAGGGAATTCAGCTTCGCTCAAACTCATTCCAGATCATCAGAGCTGCATTCGACGACGAGGTTACAGCGGAACAAATAGAAACATTTAGGAAAAATATTCACAAGGTTCAGTATCCACAAACATTGTGGCATTTCTTCGCATTCCGGGGTCATATAACCTTATCAGAGGGAGTGCTAGCGAAGGAGAAAGACAAAAATGCTAAATATTCAACAATTCGAGGCTTCGCTAAATCAACCCTGAAGAACGTATCCAAGGCAACAGGAATCAAAACCAAAAATAAGAAGAGTCACAAATTCATGCTTCCGACAAACATGCTTCCTGCCCATGGTAGGCTGTCCTTAGTAGAGATGAACACAGATCAGAGGTTCAGGGAGGATGATGAGATCTCTGAAGTAAATGATCAGCTTCCACTCCCTCCTCATCCAACCATTAAAGCATCTGGACCTCTGGATAGTAAATGCCTTGAAAGGTTATCTGAGCGAGGTTATTACAGGGACTGGGAGAGGTTGGGATTAGGAAGTTTAGATCTTGTTACTCTGAAGGGAGCATACACAGCTCAACCAGCATCTCTAACTAGAATATCTGTTGTTAATCATAAATTTTTAGTTTGTAAAAGTTTACCTCAGCTTCTGGTTGTCCCTGGACGGGTTACAGATGATAGTTTAAGAAGACTCTCCAGACTATACAGACAAAACAGGTTACCAGTCATCACATGGAGAAACGGAACCTCTAGAGCTCTTCTTATTCGAGGCTCAGCCTTTCATGCTCGAGGTGTCATGGATATCATTCGTAGACATCAGGATAACCAGTCCCTACCGGCACACGAGGTTCCTCACAGCTCAGAGGCAGACGAATATCTGAAAGCTGTTATCTCTTCAACTCCGTCTTCCATGCTGAAACCAGAGAGTACATGGAATATGTCCGGGAGTACAGCGAGTATCGCGAGTGTTGGAGAGCTGGGTTTAGGACCCATTACTCCAACTCTATCCCGGAGAAATAACAATCCTCTATCCAGAGCTATGGAAGGTTTAGGAACCCTCACTAGAAACTCCGGTAAGAAAGAGTCGAGTCATTTTTTAAACTGCACTATTAATACTTTTTTCGCTTTTAGGATTGAATAAGTATCAGAATATTTTAGGATTGAAAAAGTATCAGAATAAAAGAAAAGCTAAACGTAAACACACTTCTTAGATCATGCTTAAGATTTCTTGCATGAAGATAAACAAAAAAATAATAATATTACAATGTCTAGGTTTAAAATATTTAACTCTGAATCGAAGATCTGCTCCAAGTAAATATAAGATTGCTTGGGGCTTTATTTAACTCATTTAACTCAGCTTGTACTTGTAACTCTATTCTGCTATTCAAGGGCTTTCTAATCCTGTTCTGCAAGTATTTATGCCCTACGCTGAAACCTTCTTTTTTATCTCTAAAATTTTAATTTTGTTCCTAGAATGTTTTATTCTACTCTCTCCTTTTTGTTTTATTCCTTCAAGGTCCTGGCGTCTGGTATCGTAACCTTAAATGACCCTTCACACAAAGAGGGGAATGTCCGATGTAGAACGGTACCATTGAAACGTTATTTTGATCAATAATGTTGAAGATAATGTCGGTTTTATAGCTTGGAAAAGTGTTTAATTCTGAAAATTCTTACATTGTTTTCCTGGTACAGACATATGAAAGTCACTTTTGCAGAGAAACCAAAAATGAAGGTAAATAGTATGAACAAAACAAGAATATCTTATTCAAACTTGATCATACAATTCTTTGAAGGGAACCGTTGTGAATCTGACATTCCGCTCGATCAATGGAGGGTCACTTGAAGTTATGTTTACAGTTCCTTAAAACAGTTTAATTTGTGTTTATAATCGTTCCATGTAATCTTCATGCTTAAAACTATTTTTCCTGGAACCTTGTTTGAACCCGCCGGTGAAGCGTCTCGTAAATTTTGCATGTAGTCTGCTATAAAAACTTTTCAAATCTGCTTTTAACGCTTTTCAACCTCACAATTATTTTTTTTTACTTTGTCAAAACAAATTGCCAATATATCTCTAATCGTTCATTGCCTCCTTTATGTTGCTAATGCTACATTGTAATCCACATTTTGCGGTTTCACGTAAAGAATATTCATCATACTGAAAGAATCCGATTTTTTCTGAATGTTCTCATAATATAAGTATATTGCTGAACGGGATTCATCACTTAATGATTTCTGGAACCTGAAACGTTATTAAATCTCAATAATTGAGAGCATTGATCGGTCCGTTATAGTTTGGATTACAAGGTAATTACGGATTGGGTTCCGTCTCTGTTGTGGATCCATTTATAATTAATCCTATCATTATCACTGTTACCATTATCACCATTATCATTATCATTACCACCATTTTCATTATCACCATGATTACTTTTTTCGTCATCTCTGATATTCATACTGTAGCACACTGTACAGTTTGCAGCGTACAGTATGCACTATGCACTATTCATACAACCAAAGCATGCATCAATAGGTTTAAATATATTAGATATAAATTAAATTTAATTTCTTAATTCTAAAACAATTTTAACTATCGATAAATCCACTATTTATTTATCACAATCTGGTCCATAAAGAAACATTGTCCTGAACGATTATTTTGCTTTTGGATTTAAAAAGGATAACTCTGAAAAAATATATATACTCTATGTGTTTAACCTAAATATGTTAGTATTGAGAGCGGATTTGTTAAGGAAAGGGTATGAGTCGACGAAGTAAAAGCTTCAGCGGGAGAAAGACTTCAGGTTTAAAACCTCTCGTTGTTCCGTGTCCCGTAGTCTTATGTTTTATAACCTTCCATCCTGTAAACACAGGCGCAACTTTTTTCCAACATGTTATTTACCCCTATGCCTGTTAATAAACTGACATACAGTGATACCCAGAAAACCATGGAATAAGACGCCGATTCTAATCCAGAAAACCGTGGAATAAGACGCCGTTTCTAATACGTTCAAGTTATGATTTTAAATAGTGTAACATGAAACATAGTAATTTATCAGTGTTCTCAGAACTATTTTACTTAATGCGGAATTTTTGTTTCTATAAAACTACTTTCTTTGTAGCAACATCAAATACACTAAAAGATTGCATTTAATGTTGTCTTCCTATTTCACAGTTTTCTGGCTCTCACTTTAACCTAATCTAAATACTAACAAAGCATCAAACCTGAAGATCCTAAAGATACCTGTAATGTTTACGTTATTTTTAATTAAATGATTTAAACCTTTGAACTAATTGAGTGAAGTTTTCAAAATCAAATTTGCTTTTTGTAGTTTTTGTACACACCGTTGCATTATTTACACAGATGTGTGGTGTGTGTAATGTGCAATGAACATAAATAAACAAATCTTGAGATTGTTCAAAGCTTGAGATTGCATGATCTGTTCAACTATTATCCTGACTAGCTTGTATCTTGTTCTTTGCTCCGGAGTTGCATGCTGCATGTGGTCTTCATAGTCGTTTCTTCCCTAATCAGCTGTTCAAGATTTTAAATTGACCTTTACAACTAAGTAAAGAGACATTTAAGACATTCCTTTTTCTTTTTGTCTGATATATCCGGAGATGATTGACAATGGACATACATTAACGTTTTTTCACCCTTCCCACGTACACACTGTACCTACTGTATATATATCAGGCGGAAAGGCGGGGAGACCCTTTGGAGGTCGTCTTTCTCTCTCTAGCATGAAGGGTCGACCAGGGCTCGGCTCAGAGACATCTCTCACAGGTCGGATTGTACCACGGGTTTTGCATGGCTTCATTCAGATTTACGTCTCACTAGGCTAATGGAATTTTGTATAATCACCTCGAAAAACTGGCTAAAAACAGAAAATGTATAAAATGTAAATTACAACCTCTGTTTATTCTGCTCAAAATATTTTTGAAAGATTACAAAAGGATAGTTTGTCTTTCCTTTTAGTTTTTACGCTCCTATATAAATGCTTTTTACCTTTCTTCGAATTGAATAAATTTGTATTTTTTGGCATCCCTTCTCTTGACTGCACTCTAAACTTCTCACTTTTTGCATGCAAAAGTTATAAAAACACATTCTTAAATAATTTATTTTTATTTTTCATTTGTTCAATAAAAAATGATCAGTTGGAAGATCCTTTTTTTGCTATCGATTTTTAAAAGAAGTTTAATACTAATTATTATTAGATTTTTCAGGTTCCGGTGCACTACGTGGTTCCTACAGATCCAGTGTAGAACCAGAGACAGAGGCCAGCTATACCTCTCTACCCCGGGCTGCGCTCTACGTATTCGTGGATAAGGCGCAGATGAAGGGGATTAAGGTTGAATCCCATCCGAAGGCAGATTTTATCCCTGTTGAATACCCGGATACTAGGAAGTTAAGAAACTCTTTCAAGAAGTTGCTCCGAGCTTGTCATCCCTCATCAATAACTCAGGTGTATTTTTTTCGCCTAGATACACTTAATAAATAATACAAAATTGAGGCGCGTGTTGATGTGGAAACTGGAAAATGACTCTTACAAGTATTGTTTTTATTTTTTGATGGGAATAATGTTTTCGACATTTTTCTTAGGTGTAACTTTTCCATGAAGAAAATTAGGAAATCTATATTTCACATGGGAAAAAATAGCGTAGACGTAAAGGAGAATAATTATTTCTGTCACATGTTAATAATAATATTTGGATCAGTGGGAAATTGTCCTTTTCTACTACTTACTTGGGGACCCAGCTTTACCTTTACATTCCTGTTGTGATTTTAACAAGTTACCCAATAAAAACACATACAAACTAATGATCGGACATGAAAACAAACAGAGATTTCTACTTTAAATATATAGAGATGGAAACTAAGGTCCCTAATTATATTTTATAATTTGTCAGGGGCATAATAATTCCAACGAGAGAGGTTTCCTCAGCCTGGTTGAAGAAAGTGAATGGTTATCTCTTCTCCAGAGTGTAATGCAGTTGGCAGGAGCTGTAACAGATCTAATAGATCTCCAGGGTAGCAGTGTTATACTAGCCCTGGAGGACGGTTGGGATCTAACAGCTCAGGTCTCCAGTTTAGCACAGCTCTGCCTGGATCCATACTATAGAACTATACAGGTTAGGACGGAGCAGGTTGGAGAGTGGGATGGAATGCAAAAAGTTACAGTGAAAACGTTTGGGAGGGGGGGGGGGTGATAATCTTAAATAAAGCAACTTTTCTGGACACAATTTATTTGAACTCCTCTTTTTATAAAATGTTCAGAAAATTAAAGACTTTTTATATAACAATGTTGGGACGTTTCACTTCTAAGTTCGTATCCCCAGTACACTGTACAATATACAATGTACACAGTGTACAGTTGTACAAATCATCGATGGGAAAATGTTAATTTAAGTTTAAAAATAACAAATAGGGAAATGATTAAGTTTAGTTTTTAATTAGTTTTGCTTTGATAAACATCCTTTGAAACTTTAATAAAATAATAGAATCTAAGTTTAGTTTTCAAGAAATTTTTTGTTTTAATTCAATTTTACACAGATAATCTTTTAGACCTTTCTTTGAAAAAAAAGAATTTTTTTTCTACTTTAGATATTTTTATGGTTGATAATTTCTCTAGGGTTTCCGTGTGCTCCTGGAGAAGGAATGGTTAGCGTTCGGTCACAGGTTCGGATACAGGAGTAATCTAAACAATGCGAACCAGGACAGTGGGTTTACGCCAATCTTTCTCCAGTTTTTGGATATAGTTCATCAGCTCCTTAATCAGTTTCCGATGGCTTTTGAGTTCTCACACTTTTATCTCAAGTAAGGAAAAAGTTTTATAAATTTTTCATATTTGCATTCTACTTTCACATTCTTTTTACATTTGCAATAAAGGATAACGTTGTATTTTACAAAAGAGAATTGAATTCAGAGATATATTTTGTTTTTAAAAATTGTATCATCTGAAAGCTATAACTTTGGAGGGGAAATAAATATTTAATAGAAAAGTATTAAAAAATGGGATATAAAAATGTTTGTTTTTAATTCTTTGGTAAAAAAAAGTGTAAATTAATTCAAAGTTCTGCGGTTTTAAAATATGTTATATGTATTCTTGTTTTCAACATTCCGAAGCAATTTATAATTAAGGTTTCTGGCGTATCATCATATTAGCTGCAGATTTCGTACATTCCTATTAGGTAAGAAAATAGTTTTGTATTTCGGAAAAAAAAATATTTTAAAAAAGGAATTATGAATTTTTTATCAAGATTCGGAGTGTGAGAGAGCTGAAGTTGGATTTATCGAAGTTCGAGAGAAAAGATCGTCTATTCCTCGTTCCAGTAGATCCAACGATACCCAGAGTTCCGACGAGGAGGAGAGAGGATCCAACCAGGGATTCCCTGGAACCCATCTTGGTGTATCAGTCTTTGATTTTATAGACAAGTTAAACCAGAGAACTAGTTCTCTTCACAACCCTTTGTTCTGCCCGGAACTGCAGCAAACTGTTCTCCGTCCCTTCTCCCATATGTCGGATCTAGTGCTGTGGGACTACTATATAGAGGAGGAACTGAGATTTGGTCCATGCTACGACATGGAGTATGCGGAGATAGATCTAACCTTACAGGACGAGGGGAACCTGGATCCCAGAGAAACCAATAAGACTCTGACCAAAGGTAATTTTTGACAATAACACAAATTTATAGCCGATATCAAATTTCAACTGTTATATACTTACATACATACTTACACTAAATTATTATTTTAAAGAATAATACCGAAGGTACATAAGCTTCCATTACTTAGTCCTTATTATTTTAAAGAATAATACCGAAGGTACATAAGCTTCCATTACTTAGTCCTTNTTATCAGACCTTACTTCATTCTTAACTTAGTAAATTTATTTCAAGTTTGGAGGGTGGATAGTTGCACATCCCTGACATTTGATTTTGATTTGATTTGATTTGATTTGATTTGATTTGATTTGATTTGATTTGATTTGATTTGATTTGATTTGATTTGATTTGATTTGAAACCTGGACGGAAGAATCTGTTTGGAAAAATGAATATATTGTTTGTTTAAAGTATGAAGGTTTCAGATTTCAAAGTTTCATATTTGTTATATTTAACAAACGCAAGTTATTATTTGTTTTTCAACGAGAGTAGAACTAAAGTTAACGGTTTAGAGTTTGTGGTTCTTTTTACTCTTATTTTTAAGGACAGCTCTAGAACTAGTTATTTTAAAAACAATAACAAAGATTGTATCCAACTGGAATGTTTAGTAAGGAGTGCCGTGCCTGTTCAGCGTTCACTGAACAACTAGTTCCTGTAACGAACCGTCTCCATCACTCTTAACTTCAAAACTTATTAAGTTTTTACTATTTAATTAAGATCTGATAAAACAAAATTAAATGTTTTTGAAATTTTCAAGTTAATTCTTCTTTTCATGTTCAGTTTTCTATAGAATCCATTCTTTGTTCTTTCACAAACAAATTATTTATTAAGAAGTTCACTTTGTGTACATTCATAAGATCTAATCCTGTTTTTATTATTAATGTTGTTGTTGTTGTTTTTAATGTTGTTAATATCATTATTATTATTATCATTGTTGTTATTATTGTCATTATTGTCATTATTATCATTATCATCATCATCATCTTCATCATCTTCATTATCATCATCATCTTCATCATCTTCATTATCTTCATCATTATTATTTTTAAGGATACGACACCATGGTACGAGACCACCCGAATTCTAGTTCTAAGCTGCTGAAGGATATTCAAGATCTAGAGACTGAACTTGGATATCTACCTCATCGATGGCAACATCATTGGGAGAAGCTGGAAGCTCCGCCAGCCCATCCTCCGCCTCCACCGCCACGAAGTACCCACTCCGGACATCCTCCGCCTCTGAGTACAAACTCTGTCCAGCCTACTACCCCCAGTATGTATGTACGGGACTACGGGCGGAGTGTTCATAAACGATCAACTATTGAACTCCTGTTGAAAGGGAAGATGGGCGTGAGCAGTGGAAACGCCGAGGGGGGCGGAGCCGCGTATACACATCCTCACAGATTTGAGAAATTTAACTATACAACCCCAACCTACTGTGATCTTTGTAACTCCGTTCTTTGGGGTATTGTCAGAACCGGATATAGATGTCAGGTAAACAGGATATAGATGTCAGGTAAACAGGAATCTAGACGTCAGGTAAAGAGGATCTAGATGTCAAGTAAACAGGATATAGATGTCAGGTAAACAGGATATAGATGTCAGGTAAACAGGATATAGATATCAAATAAACAAATAATTTTATAATTTAATTGCTGGGACGTTTCTTTTAAAAAAAACAGCACCTTTTAGATCATTGGCCACTAAAATAAAAGATGGCAACTTCTTTTTTAAACTAGTAAGGGCAGTTTTTACTTACATCTGTTTATCAAAAAAATTGAACTTGCTTTAAGGCTATAATGAAATAATTTTGTATAATATTCTTGATTAACTTGCGTCTCTTCGGGGTTGAACCGTAGTAGAGGGACTAGGGCGTCCGTAAAAGTCTGATTTAAGTTGAATTGGTTTGATTTGATTTTTAACAATCTTAATTAATTCTTATATATAGGACTGTGGGTTGAACTGCCATGAGAAGTGTAGAGAAAATGTAACTAAAGCCTGTACAAAGTACAAATCTGTACAGAGGGATCCAACCACGGAGAACCTAGATGCAAGACTGACCGGAAACCAGAGTTCTGGGGGATATTTCCCCTACGCCAGGGGAGAACGACAGGGGGAATCCACTAATATTATTTATCAGGTAAGATAGATGTTTGAATTAAGTTCTTACAACAAACCCTTCTTTAATCACTATACCTTAGCAATACAATGCCGTAGACCTATGAATATCATTTAGTCTTAAGTTTGAAATACCGAAGGTATACTCCATCAGGTTGCAAATATATGTATGGATTAGAAAATTTGAGTTTGTGGCAAGACCGTACTTTGTTTCACATAATTTATTAAACGGAGAATTCCCTGTTTTTATTTCTATACATGCAGGGTTATGCACTATTTATATATATGGCGGTCTGGGCTCTCCAAGATGGGAGGGTTTTTAGATCCTACCTTATCTTATTTTATATATTTTGAATAGTAAAATGTACTTTTTATTCTAATTGGGAATTGTTTTGTTTTGTTTTGATTTGTTTGTTTTTTCTCTTAAAGATAATGTACAAAGATTATATTAAACGATAGTCGAGTATTTTTTTTCAGATTTTTTTATTCTTTATAGGGTAATGTGCTTTTAAAACATAATATTATTTTTGCAAAACTATGATTTTAGAAAGAAGTGCCATCGATAAAAGTAATGATATGGAAGAAGAAAAAAACTGAACAAAATTAATCTTATCTAATAATGTAATCTCCGAAGATTGAGAAAAGTTTATTATTATATTGTTAATCCAATTACTAGTTTATTCTTGTATCCCCTGCTGAAGTGGGTTGTAATGTTTGTTGTGGATTTATTGTAAATAATTTAAATCTTAGTGTCTAGTTAACACAGGGACTATGGCAATTATAACTAGGAAAGTACAATCACAAGAATTAAATGTCTGAAAGCTTAGTTTAGGAAATTGTATTATTTTACTCGGTGATGCATGATGATCGAAGAAATAGTTCTGGGTTAATATTTTTTATGACTGTAATTTTGGGTGCCGCGGCTTGTTGGCTAGATTTTTTTTCAATAGAATCTTACTTATATGAAAAAGACTGTGCACATAAACTTATTACTCTACGAAGAGCTCGTCTTTAGAAATATTAACAAATTCGGTATTTCAGAACAAATCTTTATGAGAGAAATTATATAAGATTAGAAACTAACCAACCAACCAACTGCATATAAATACTTCATTTATCCGACCATCTGCTCACAGAGAAACCACAGAGTATACATATATTAATTATCATTCATTTAGTCTGTATCATGGAAACATTGAACCAACTATTATTTTAAGATCACGTCAAGCTGAAGTAAATTAATTGCAGCAATATTGAAATCAAATATTTTCAATCATAACTTCTCTTTTCATACAACTTTTGAGAAGACCAAATATGTTTTGAATTTTCTCCTGCGTAAAACCAAAACTAGAGGAGCGACAAGGTCACAAAGTTGTACCAGTAATATCGCATAAATTCAACTTTCTCCTTCTTGTGAGATATTCCCATTTAACGTTCTTAAATCCTAATTTTTCAAGAATCCTGTCTCACGTTCTTAACTTCTATTACTTCAAAAAACCTGTCTAACGTCCTGAACTCCTAATACTTCATGAATACTATCCAACGTCCTGAACTCCTGATACTTCAAGAATTCTGTCAAACGTCCTGAACTCCTAGTGGTTTAAGAATCCTGTCAAACTTCCTGAACTCTTAATACTTTAAGAATCCTTTATAACGTTCTGAACTCCTATTACTTCAAGAATCCTACAGGTGCTAACGTCCTGAATTCCTAATTCTTTAAGAATCCTGTGTAACGTCATGAACTCTTAATTCTTTAAGAATTCTATCCAACATCCTTAATTCCTAATACTTCAAGAATACTATCCAACGTCCTGAACTCCCGATACTTCAAGAATTCTGTCAAACGTCCTGAACTCCTAATAGTTTAAGAATCCTGTCAAACTTCCTGTACTCTTAATACTTCAAGAATCCTTTATAACGTTCTGACCTCCATTACTTAAAGAATCCTGTCTTAACGTCCTGAATTTCCAATTCTTTAAGAATCCTGTCTAATGTCCTGAACTCCTAATTCTTTAAGCATTCTATCCAACATTCTATTTCCTAATACTTCAAGAATACTATCCAACGTCCTGAACTCCTGATACTATAAGAATTCTGACTTATAATGCTTAAAGAATCCTATCTAACGTCTTTAACTTCTAATACTTTAATAATCCTATCTAACGTCCTGAACCCTGTAATACTTGAATAATCCTAAAAAACGTCCTTAACTCCGATACTTCAATAATTCTGTATAACGTCCTGAAACCTACACTACTTCAAGAATTCTATCTAAAATCCTAAACTCCTAATACTTTATGAATCCTATCTAACGCCCATAACTTCTAATGCTTCAATAGTTCTATATAACGTCCTATTCTTGAAGAATCCTATAAAATACTTCAAAAATCTTTTCTAATCCAAGATTCCTGTCTATGGTTCTCAACTCTATAATATTTAAAGGAATCTGTCCGAACTCTCAAATACTGAAAGAATACTATATAACGTCCTTACGTCCAATTCCTGTTTTACGTTCTTCATTTTCTGTTTTGAAAAACCCTCTGTTTAAACTCATGAACGTGTTCCTAATTTTTATATTTCAGTTTTATTTCTGTTTTTTTCTTTATTATTTAGAATGATGGATTTGTATTCTGTATAGTGTATTATGATGTTTATCTATTACTATCTGATATTAGATACTGGTCTGATAAGAATGTTATGTTAAACCTCAAATAATATTAATGCTTTTAAGATAATATTTGTTTCCAACATTAACCACTCACTTTTAAACAAAACTGAACGGGTAATGGTATTTTACCCCCCTCCCCCTCCCTTATTTAGAGGTTTTTGTTCCTCAACCTTCAGAATTTGACATCTTGTAACAAATGTACCGCACCCCTCATTATGATCAATGAACTTGAAGCGTCAAGAACGGGATTGAGTCTTTGTAACAAAACAAATAATTTCTGATTCCTATATCGTTGCAACCGGACAGTTTATACCTTTGACATTTCAAAATTAGATTATTTGATCCAACAGAATTTATTGTATGAAATATCTAAGGTCTACTACATTTGGTTGCAAATATATAGGGATCAGAAAATCAGGGTTTGTAGCATAAACTCAATTCCTTTAGTTTTCAGCTTAGATATTCAGCCTAGACGTTATTAAAATAAGTAATATATCGTTTAATATCTCATATTTATATAATATTTATAATTTCTTGTTTGCACATTCTCTGCAGTTGACGGGTGCAGTGAATATATTTGGCAGGCTAGCCACCAAGTAACCACGGGGGACGTTCTCATGCCAATATTTGGTCCGGATGGGGGGGAAGAAGCATTTACAGTAAGAAAATAAATTGATGTTTCTAGTTTAGGTATCCTCTGATATAGTTTTTACTTGTCTCTATGCTTGCAAATAGCATGACTCATTGATCTAGATAATTTCTCTCTGTAACTCTGGTTAAAACTATTATATGTACATATGTAGTTAATGTTCTATAAAGCTGCAACGTTTAGCTACATTGTGGGGTATTTTCTGTTCGCAGGTGTTGCCTACAATTGGAAGGGGGAGGGAAGGTACATATTAGTTAAATTAATGAGGTTTGAAGTGTGGTTTACGACAGTCTGGGAGACAATAAAACAGCAAGTTCTACTCCCAGGAGTAGGTTGTTAAACCCTAGGACTGCTCACATCGCCGGAACTGGTCATATATCATTCTTTTTATTCAGCAATATTTTATTTATGAACAAGTGTTTTCTCATATTTCTGAAATATCTCGTCAATTTTGGTTTCCTGTTTTAATCATTACTTGGAGATAATTTCATGGTTTTATGGTTTCTCGGCTTATCTTTCCAATACAGAGTATATAGACACACACACACTTATACAGTAATTGAGTGTTATTACCGCAATTAGTATCAGGGCAGTAATTTAATAATAATTAGATTTAATATTGCTTATTAATGGATAATTAAACGTGTATCGTAGCGTAAACATCAATGGGATAGTTCCGTCATCCAGTTTTTAGTCCTTTTACTTTTATGATCTTCAGCCCCCCCAAAAAAAAAGGAAAATGTCGGGGGAAATGTTAAAAGTTTAAAACTAGATTAAAGATAATTCGATATTACATTTCCATTTATATGTAGTAGTAATCAAGGAGATATTAAATAGAAGGAGGGGGCGATAGGGTTTCCGTACACTTTGCTGTGACGTTTTTGGACTGCTATGTAAACAGATTTTATTAGATTAAAGTAAATAGTAAATCTCCTTGGTTGTAATGAAATTCACAGTTGTTACGTTTTTATAGTAAGTCTATACGAGGTAATTTTCATAAGTCAACTTCTCGCAAATTTGTAATTTTTGACAGATTTGATGTAGTGTCGCCAGCGATCCAACAGGTTGTTAAAATTGGATATTTCAGGACGGAAATACAATTTAATAATGCCGTTCCGTGTGATATTTCATGATTACTGATCATTAGTTAGTGTAAGGGGGGTGTCAGGCTGAAGGGGGGGGGGGGAATATATTCGCTGTTAAAATATTATGCCAAGGGGGAGCTATAAATAGAAGATCTGTGGGAAGGTTGTACCCGGGGAACAGGGTTCTAGATATATTAATGGGACTCCTAGAAAAGGGTGTGGGGGGAAGGTGGTCAAGGGGGATGCTTATTAATGAAAAGGATTGTAAATATAGAAGGATCGATTATACACAAGTGTATTTCATTAATGTATATCGGAAACCCGACAGGTCCATGAATAACCTGATAAATTATCATCAATGCATTATTGTTCAAACAAAATTTTAGAATAAACAAATAGATGGTTACTAGGGATATGTAATTTGCAATTTATGTCAATCGGAAATGCCCCTCCATATACTTTTCTGATTTTTTTCATTTCTAGAATTTTTGTTTGTACCCTCTCTTTTTTCTTTTTTAAATAGCTTTCTCTGTTTGTTCATTTGTTCGGTTGAACCACGGAAATCCTCTTAGCTTGGTTTATAAAGTAGGTTGACTTTTATATAGAACGGTTAGATTGCAAGGCGAAGCTGGGTTCCTAATCTAGTATTTTATATTAAATTTGCTTGGAAACCCAGCTTTCCCTGGAGATTAATACAATTTTTCAAAGTTGAGAACATTCCCGTCCTTTTAACGAGTTCCCAAACAAAATTTGAAGCAAATCAGTTTGTTGTATATCATAGGGATACCTGTATAAACGAGGAGCTCTATTGAAAGCTGGGTACCCGCGCTAGTATACTATATTGTTGTATATCTACTATCTAGGGATACCTGTATAAACGATATTATACTATATTGCTGTATATCTAGGGATACCTGTATAAACGCTAGTATACTATATTGCTGTATATCTAGGGATACCTGTATAAACGAGGAGCTCTTTTAAAAGCCTGGAAACAGCGCTGGTTTGTATTGGACTCTATCAAGCATCAGCTGAGATACTATGATACTAGGGAGGATCTACACTGCAAAGGAGCAATAGATCTATCAGAGGTAAATACGCTATTTGGTTTGTCTAAGGTCAGAATTTATGAAAAATCAGAGATAGTTTAAGTAGTTACGGATAGTTCAACTAAAGCTCTAGTGTATTTAAACTACATCTCATTAAACTTGGTCAATCCCTGCTAGCTTCAAACAGTTCAAATTTTTTATTATTTCAATTTTTAAAAGAATTTGGCTAAGTATTTTTATTTGTTTTTAGTAATAAAAGATTAATTGAATTATTTTGAAATTAATTTGTCTTAATTTTTACCATACCTGAAACTTTATCAAACGGACAGGAAATCTTTTTATCCTCCCCCTAACCCCCTTTTTCCATGCCTAATTCTTCTGTTCAATGCAGACAAGAAATGTTAATGTGATTTTAATATCCAATATATACTATTCATATAAATATATATGTACTTGGATCTTTAAACTCGTATTGATTACTTATGAAAAGATGGATTAAACCAACAATTTCCAAACACGCAAAATTAAACACGAAGGGCATTCATAAATGTGAAATGTTGCAGCGTGGAGAAGGGGGGGGGGGTATGATTTGGTTGTACGTGAATAGTCTTCAGAGTTTCATATCTTGGTTGCTTGTAAACAGATTTTATTAGATTAAAGTAAATAGTAAACCTGTATCTTGTTGTATAGGTGCGGGGAGTATGTGAAGGTAGTTCTGTTCCAGGAGCTCCGAAGAAAACTGATGAATGTTGTTTCTTCGATCTTCAGACATCGAAGAGAAACTACAGTTTATGTGCAGAGAATAAACAACAGGCCATTGACTGGCAGGAGAAAATTCAGAGTTGTCTCTAAACTATTCATACTTTATATATATATACATTCATACCCTGATACAATGTTCAACCTGTTCAAACCAAACCTCAAGTTCAGTATGTTACCTAGATACATGATACCAAACCTCAAGTTCAGTATGTTACCTAGATACATGATACCAAACCGTTTTAATTCCACTCTATGCAAACTCTTGTTCAAAGTCAAGTGATCTTTATTTGTGAAGATCCTCAGTGCTATTATTACGATTTTTTAAGTGCCTTATTCGCTGGCCTATTCTGCACCTTGGCGCCTATGATTACTCTTATTCTCTCTTATTCGCTGGTCTATTCTGCACCTTGGCGCCTATGATTACTCTTATTCTCTCTTATTTATGAGTTTCAGCATGACTATTGATATTATTTCTCTATAGTGTTGTTCAGAGCTTATATGTATTAATGTTCAATCTTTGAAATCTTTTATTACAGTTTGGGAATACAATCTTTTCAAAGCTTTTATTTTCTTTTAGCACAGTCAGAGGAAAACCTTGATAGATAGAAGTTTAAGAATTTACATTCTTGAACCTTGACCGATTAAAGGGACAGTAACCGTGATCTTAAGTGACCTTTGACTTTAATGGTGACATGTGTGATTCACAACGGTACCTTTTAAACCCTATTCTGTCCCAAGTATAAATAGGATATCTTCATTTTGTTGTCTGAAATTGATTATTTTCAATAGTGGTTTCTCTATGAAAATTACTTGAGGATATATGCTGCAAAAGCAACTAAGAATGATTAACTAATTTAACATTCTTTAAATAGGAAACCGACGATATTATATCTAGGATTAAAGGGTCTTGTTGTGTCTTGGATATACCACTCCTTAGATTAAGAGGAAAATGGAGGTCAAATTAGCAATTACATCTATATAAAATACTAGATGAAGGGGCAGGCGTTGCTCGTGCAAAAGTTTGAAGAAAAAAATTAAAAAATCTATTCCAGAGAAAAAAATATTTCGAATTTTGTTAGCCTGTAACACCCCCCGGGCACCCATGAGGTCCAAAAAAATTCAGCCCAATCGGTCCAGCCGTTTGGCCGGTGTTGCCCGTGGTACCTTAAAACGCTAATTTAAAAAATAAATAAGCCACCTATCCAGGGGGCAAATGTCATTTTTTATTAACATATTATTAATTCCATATATAAGTGTTTCGGTTTGACGACAACACTTCATCAATCATTTTTGTTTTTATGTTAAAGAGCAAATATTAAAGCAAATAATTTTATCGATATTAACTTGAGTGAAATGGGTCTGTATATATTACACAATTACTGCGTTTCATATTCAGCAGATTGTTTATAGTCAAAACTTGAGCCTAACAGTCGTCTTCCTATTGCACAGTTTTAATCGGCACACTGTATATTCGAACACTGCTTTATATACAGTGGCCAGCGTCTATATTAAAATAGTGAAAATTACTTTTTTAATGTTTTGATTTCCAACAAGCTTTTATTAAATAACAAGTTTACAAGTAAACAAAGTGAAGCTTTTTATTGAAAGCTTTTCTTTGTCTTTATGATTATGTGTTTCCATGTTGTTTGATTAGCCTAAATCTAAATTTGTCTGCATTGTATTGATATATACGACGACTAGTGTTCAAATAATAATGTACATCAATCCAACCAACACGACGCCCTCGAACCCTATCTATGAAGATGAATAGAATCCAATCATAGAATAATTATTAGAAAATAGCAGAAGGGGAATATCTATTTATATATCTTGTACTGCTCCGAAGTGTATACAGCTTCTCATCAAAATATCTCACACACAGGGTTACACACAAAATGTTTGACCTCAGGGACGACCGTACGATAATTTGTCATGCTTTTTAATTACAAGTATGGCTCTTGATTGTTTGTCTATTCATCTTACGGTACGGTACGGTACGGTACGGTACGGTACGGTACGGTACGGTACGGTACGGTACGGTACGGTACGGTACGGTACGGTACGGTACGGTACGGTACGGTACGGTACGGTACGGTANGGGGGGGGGGGTATTTATTAAACCAACAAGTATGAAAAATTTATTTTATAATCCCTTTATCTTCGCAACCTGATGTGGTAAAAAGTTCATTTGATATTTAAAAATTGATTAGTTAGAATTCATAGTTTAAAATATATAAGGTCTACGGTATCGAGTTGCAAAGAAATATGGAGTAGAAAATCGGAGTTTGTTGCAAAGACTGAATTCCTTTGTGTTGACTTAAGTTTCATATTTACTGAAACACCTTGTATGCAAATGTAAATAAGATAACAGAGTACCCCCCCCCCCCCTCCTCAAGCTTCTTGTTATTGACCGATCGAGATTTGTTAATTTACCTCATGAATATTTATAACTTAATCATATTCATATTATAGATCATTGACACGTGATATCCCGGACCCTCTGGAGCCGGGGGTAGTAGTTGATAAATATTTAGCTCATCAACCCCCATGGATTCCTTAGCCAAACTTAAATAGGTCGAATTGAGCAGGTCTCACATTCAAGGCCTCGGTAATTTGGTAATTGGGTAAATTTAGTACAGAATATCATTAAAGACTACTTGCTATCTACAATTCTAGTCAGAATATACGTTGACCTTCAACTTGTAATAGCTTCGTTTGTTTTTGAGGTTTTTAGACTTTTAAAAGGCACCACACAAATACTGTGAACTTACTTCATTTCAAAATTGTATTCTGTAAAAGTTTTTTGTTTTAACTTTGCAATGATTTATAAGGAATAAAAGAACCAAAAATGATCGTTTTCGTTCGTTTTTTCATATTTTCTCTCAAGGTTCAAATTTTGCACCGTGTAAGAAAAACAAATGTTTAAGAGAAATAATGTTGAATATTGTAAAAGTTCTCAGATTTCTGTGGAATTCTGAAGTCCAAAAACCTTTAAACATTTACAAAAACGAACCAAGCCATGTCACATCACTAAGTATTAGTGCAAGTGTAAGAAAAGAAAATGTTTAGAATAAGCTTTTTGATCTGACAAAGCTTAATGGGTTCCATTGTGAATCAGGTATTGTCATATATGCCTGAAGTAACGCTTACAATTCCTTTAATCTGATCAATAATGTGGAAGATAATGTTGTATTTCCGGTTTGAAAAGTGTTTAATTCACGACGATAAAATATAAAAAGTGGATTAATTCATACTGGACAAATATTTTAAAGGCACAGATTTGATTTGCCACTCTTTCAATGGGGGAGTTAACTGAAATAACGTTTTTCAGTCTCTTTAAGGGTGATAAAAAATAAGAGTTTGTTGCAAGAACTCATTTCCTTTTGTAACAAAATAGATAGCTTAACTATATTACTTTTGAGGTATCCTACAGTATGATTCCTACACATACATTTATATTTTGTTCATGACCAATCTAAATCAAACAACAATCCAATTATTCATGGCCACCAAATTTACTGCTTATAAATTTTCGAAACACATCATCAATTGAGAACAACTACGATATATGTAAACACCCAATTTGTCGAAATGATTAAAAGTATGAGAATAGTTCATGTAAAGTCCTGTCAGAAAGATAGAAATATTAGAATTACATGAATTTAAGACTCCTGAACATATAAGTTAAACCCTGGGTTTAGAGGAGAGATGGATGACAGGTTTGATTGAGAATGTTTACATGTCAAACCGAGAAGATATTGAATGCTTGGAATGTTTAACCCTTGAGTTTACAGGGTTGAGGAATGAGAACTGAGTGTATCCGTGTTCACAGATTATCCAGTATGCGGGATTAACAGGGCGGACGGTATTCTCCAGGTTTATCAATTGATCTGGGAATGTCGACACTAAGAATCTCCGAACCGATAAATCAGATTCTGTAAGATATGATTCGAACTAAATCTTATCTGGAAAACTCTTCTTATGAGAATATTTGAAATCAGGGAATAAAGTTTAGTTCAGGATAGGATAAAAGATGAGTAATATGAATTACAGTGGATTCGTCCTGGTTACTCATAAATCTGATCTGTCCTAGTCATTTCATGTTCTTTGTTAGCCACGTATCTTAAATAATTAATCATCATGTGATCCGTCCTTCTTGACTCCGTGTTCCTGGTTAACCACAAATCTGAACAATAGTCTCTAAACCATGTTCTTTGTGAACCACAAATTTAAACTATTCTTTAATCCGTCCTATAGTTGACCCTGTTCCTGGTTACCCACAAATCTGAACTAAAGACTTTGATCCGTCTGATCAACTCCAGGTTCCTGGTTAACAACAAATCTACGCCGCATTCGATAATCCGTCCTAATTCACTTCGTGTTCATGGTTATCCACAAATCTGAACTATAGTCTCTAATCCGTCCTAGTTGACCACGTATTCCTGTGTACCCACAAATCTGAACTATAGTCTCTAATCCGTCCTAGTTGACTACGTGTTCCTGGTTACCCACAAATCTGAACTAAAGACTTTGATCCGTCTGATCAACTCCAGGTTCCTGGTTAACAACAAATCTACGCCGCATTCGATAATCCGTCCTAATTCACTTCGTGTTCATGGTTATCCACAAATCTGAACTATAGTCTCTAATCCGTCCTAGTTGACCACGTATTCCTGTGTACCCACAAATCTGAACTATAGTCTCTAATCCGTCCTAGTTGACTACGTGTTTCTGTATACCCACAAATCTGAACTATAGTCTCTAATCCGTCCTAGTTGACGACGTGTTTCTGTATACCCACAAATCTGAAATATAGGCTTCTGGTCCTTCCTAGTCACTCCATGTTCCTTGCTATTTAGAAAATCTAAAAATCATATGATGGTCCGTCCTAGTTGAGTCCGTGTTCCTGGTTACTTTTAAATCTAAACCTGGTTGACTCCCGAGTTCCTGGTTACCAACTATCTGAACTATATTTATGTAATAAGTCCCTAGTCAAATACTAGAAATCAAGATTCTTAATTGATTATGAACGTCTCCAACCAGATTCTTTTGAAATATAACAAAGGTTTCTCGAATTCCTGAATAAAATACTTGTAAGAACACTTCTCAGAATTGAGCGCACTCATTCAACCTGCTAAATTTAGTAGCGTGCATTCTTTTACAAAATCAAGTTTTATTAATTCCTGTTCATGTTAATGAGTTGGAGGAGAATTATCATTTGAATTAATGTTATTGCCATTAACATTATTATCATCATAAAAAAGTGGTTTATCTGCATATTATCAATATTGGAATAAAATTGGGGACTTGATCTCTTTGTAAAGTTCGCAAATTAAACAAATAAAAAATGAAGACATGTCCGTAATCTTGGAATGCCATGAGTTCACTGTAAACTATAGAGAAGGAGAATGTAAAATGTATGACCTCGTCGCTCCTCTGAAGTATGAGAGAGTAAAAAATTATTCTGACACCTATTATGTATATAGAAATTCCAATTTCTTTCTTCTCAATAGCTCTTCAGTAAGTGGAGTTATGATTTAAAACATAAAACATTTGAATATCACGTGCAATTTAGTTTATGAGTTTAGCATCGTGACTTTTCATCCGGTTGTATGGCTGTCAGCCTACAGGAGGCTCCATGAAACAGTTTAACAATATAAAAAAATGTTTACTATAAGTTTGCTTTTATGAAAATATTCCAATTTTGACTATGACCAAATATTTAAGCCTAGACAAAGATAACACGATACTCAATGCTACTGAAGGATATGATCCTTTCTTCAGATGCTAGATCTTCTGAAACTTCTTTTTCCCACTTGTGCGGCTGATTAAAGGAGTATATTGTGCGGCTGATTAAAGGAGTATATTGTGCGGCTGATTAAAGGAGTATATAAGTCTTTGCCACAAACTCTGATTTTCTAATCCCTTCCTGAGCAACCCAATGTTGCAGACCATGAGATATTTTAAACTCTTGCCAAGAAAAAACGAAAAAATGTATCCGTAAACTAATAGCTTTCTTCTTAATTAATGTATGTACACGATACTATCGTAAAATAGTTTTCTGTTTAATCCATATAAACAATTTTGTAATATAACCTCGATACATAAATAAATATCTAGACATTAAAAAAAATATTTTAAACTAGCAATTCTGCTGGATCAAATAATCTAAGTTGGAAATATCAAAGGTTTGCACCGTCAGGTTGCAAAGATTTAGGAATTTATTTAGAAATTTAGAAAATTAAAGAAAGACTTAATTACTGTACCGGCTATTTTTTAAAGAAAAACGTATATGTGCATTGTGCAGTAAGCCTGGAACATTTTTAAATTTTGCGAAAAATTCCTTATTATTGAGAGAATTTCCTTAATTGTCTAATTGTAATATTTTTAAATAGGTTTAAAGCGCTAAAAGGCTCGGAATTCTAACACCTTTAAACCCTGATATACCTTTGATATTTCAGACTTTTATTCAAAGATCAAAAAATCAACACCTGAAATTTCGAAGATGTATACCATTAGGTTGCAAGGTTACAGGGATTAACAAGCTTGAGGTTGTGGAAAGTATCATCTGTTTCTTTAAATTTTTCTTTGATGTCTTTCTATGATTAAGATTAAACCAATATATAATATACATTTAGTACATCTGAAATATGATGTTTTGAAGGAATATGCAGTATTGGAGGGACTCTGTGAATTAGATGATCAAGTAATATACAATTGAGTTATAAAGAATGAGTAGTTAAATAATTTATATTACTAAAATTAAAAGCTATTTAAGCCTGAATTAAAGTTATTAAAATCTACTTAAGCCTGAATTAAAGTTATTAAAAGCGTCTTTTTGACTTTATAAACTCTATAATCATCCTTTTTAAGTGGGCACCCTGAAAAAGTTGAGAAGTTGAATAATATATTTTGTTAGAATCATGTTAAGAGAGAAACCCACACGCCGAGATACATCGTCATAACTTAACCTCGTGTCAAATAGTTGAGTGATTAAGATAGTGTAGACTGTATGGATAGTGAAGACTGTATATGGATAGTGTAGACTGTATATGGATAGTGTAGTATGGATAGTGTAGACTGTATATGGATAGTGTAGACTGTATATGGATAGTGTAGACTGTATGGATAGTATAGACTGTATGGATAGTGTAGACTGTATATGGATAGTGTAGACCGTATATGGATAGTGTAGACTGTATATGGATAGTGTAGACTGTATATGGATAGTGTAGACTGTATATGGATAGTGTAGACTGTATTTGGATAGTGTAGACTGTATGGATAGTGTAGACTGTATGGATAGTGTAGACTGTATATGGATAGTGTAGACCGTATATGGATAGTGTAGACTGTATATGGATAGTGTAAACTGTTTATGGATAGTGTAGACTGTATGGTAGTGCAGACTGTATATGGATAGTGTAGACTGTATGGATATTGTAGACTGTATATGGATAGTGTAGACTGTATATGGATAGTGTAGACTGTATATGGATAATGTAGACTGTATGGATAATGTAGACTGTATATGGATAGTGTAGACTCTGAGTGTATATGGATATTGTAGACTGTATGGATGTAACATATTGTATTTATTAGTTACATCTATTTAAGTGTATATGGGTTTGATTGGCTATCCATACTCCAAAGGACGTATATGTACGTAAGAATATTTATACACTAATACAGTATATCTACATCATATATCAACATATATAACATATATTATATATTGTAAATGTTTTTGTATATTATGCAATATATTATATAATAATATATGTTAGTGAATATTAGACAATAACATTTACAATATGTTATATTGCTTTGCTTCGCATTTTAAGATATATATTCACGATTTTCCTATACCAAAAGAACCAATTATTTGTATTAGTCCAGAGCTGGGAACTTTTGAATGGTGGATATCGGGATTAATGCTTGATCCACTCTTTTTCTTAATCTCGAGATTAAATAATGCTTGTTCTCCTCTTGATTAATCTCCAGATTAATTAACCGATCGGGATTAAGGATATCCTATTCTAAAGTTTTCAGCTCTGAGCTGTGAACTTTAGAATGGATAACCTTTATAATCCAGACTGCTTAATCTGAATATCCAATGTGGAAACTTTTATCTTAGTCCTTAATCCACTCTTTTTTCACTCTTTGGATATCCATACATTGTTTTCTCTATTGAGAGTGCAGGAACATAAAATATAAAAACATCAAGAATTTGTTTTCGGCCATTTTGTAAATAAATTGGTGAAGAAAAACATGTATTAATACATTTGAGATTAATTTTTAACTAATTTTAATTAATATATTAATAAATAAATAGGTGAGAAATTAAGTGAAGGCCCTTCCAGTCAAGAAAATGAAAAAAATCTGGCGCTGGCATTTAATGTATTATTTAATCTCCTAGAATTTGTTAATCTAAATATTTAATCTCGAGATTAGCAAAAAGAGAGGATTAAGCATTTCTAAAGTTCCCATGCTCAGGATCAAAATCTGAGCGCATTTAATTGGACATAAAACAATGAATGAAATTCAAAATTCGTCCGGAAATGGTTTTTCTTTAGGTATAACCTGGGGGGGATGGGGAATTGGTTTCCGTACGTCATGGGAAACATTTAGTATCCGGCTACTGATGATCGATTAGTTTTTTAAAAACCGGACATTTTAGGTCTAGGGTAATTATGATGTCATTGGTTGGAAGTAGGGGTTTGTTTCCTACAGGAAACCACGAGGCAGGCGGGAGGCGGGGAATTGTCTCCCCCCGCCAAACCACGCTTCTACGGACAATCCTTCGCGCTTTCATTCAAATCAGAGTTCAGAAAAATAGAACTTTAAATCCGGGAAATTGTTTATTATTTTTTATTATGACGCACTGGGTGACTGCAGTTGGTTGAATGAATGAAAACTGCAGATGACCCAAGAAGAGTCCAGAGAAAAGAGATGATTCATATGTGATAATTCTACGTGCTGTCCCGGTTTTTCCGGAGTGTTGGTGTACCGGCCCGGTTTCCTCTATATCAGGGGGCAGGTGGTAGAAACGGCACAGTCCTTACTCATCCTACCACTGGTACACACTAAAAATTAGTGTCGTGAGAGTTTAATAACGTTCAAAAATTCTTCAATTCACGCCAACGATAACAAGACAATTGAGTTTTGAACTTTAAAGAAGGTTTTTTTTACCGTTTTACCACAGACAATATATTGAATAGTGAATAAATAATATATAAAGAAATCAAGAATTTTCTGCCTGAAAACACAAATTAATATTTTATAATTACGTTAAGTGACAAATGTGGGCGTAACTATACTAATTACAAAATGAGGTGTATTTACAGGGTGTGGCACCTTCCGGTGTTTCTATTAATTGTTTCCTTGATCCATGAAGCACAGGCACAGAAACCTCCTCAGCCTCCTCACTTCATCAAGAAGATGGACAAGGAGGTGGAGCTTCAGTTCGGACCCATCAATAGGTTTGTCCTAGAGTGCATAGCTCACGCTGAACCTCTTCCCTTGTACACCTGGTTCAAGAATGAGATTAAACTTGAGAATAATACTGCAGGGATTAGTTTAATCTCCAACCTGGAGCATAGTCAACTAGAGTTTAGTTCTCCTGCTCCTGAGCATGAAGGCTTCTATCATTGCGAAGCTGAGAATGGTTTAGGTAAAGCTAAATCTACTGTAGTTCATGTTACCAGTCAGATCTCTAAACCTGCTAAAGGAACTTCAGCTCCGGTTTTTATCCGAGCTCCTGAGAGCGAACTCCCCAGCGTAGGAAACACAGCCAAGTTTGAGTGTATCGCGGAGGGGAAACCTGATCCTCAAATTGTCTGGACAAAGAACGGAGAAGTTCTACCCGGAGAAACTGGTAATAGACTAGTCCTGCACAATATAGGACCTGGAGATGTAGCAAACTATGCCTGTAATGCATCTAATATTGCTGGATACGAATATAAAGATGTTTATCTAAATATACTAACCCTCCCTGCCACTATAACTGAGGGCCCGAGGGACCAGGTTGTATCTAAAGGTTCGAATGTAACCATCAAGTGTAAAACGGAAGGTTTCCCATTACCAACAATATCTTGGTTTCTAAATGATGAACCTATCCAAGGATCAGATCGGGTGAAAATAAACAATATTTCTGGAGATCTATCAATCGTCAACGCTACTGTGGAAGATGCTGGAAAGTATATGTGTGAGGCTAAGAACCACGGAACCATGAGCAAGGTTGGAAGTCTGGTTGTCAAGAGTAAAACCGAAATTATCAGTGGACCTAGTGATCTCTACGTCGAGGTGTTCTCCAGTGTTACGATGAACTGTACAGTTGTCTCCGACCTAAGCGAGGAGCTGACTGTTATCTGGAAGAAGAACAACGTGGATCTAGGTCAGAGTATATACGGAGAGAACCAGAGGATCAGTCAGGATGAGAAGTATAGTCTTGTCATCAAAAATATAACGCTTGCGGACGAAGGTATTTATTCTTGATTTTTTATTTTTTAGAATTTGTAACTAGATCTTTTTATGAGCAAGGATGTTATCTATAGAATTTGGAAAGGGTTAAAACTGCCAATCTGATAAATAATTAAGATATGTTAAAAAACCGTTGATTAAGCAACGATTTTTACTACTTTGTTTAATATATGCAATCCGATATCACCCTAGCTTCATATTTACGATTAGAATTGGAATAAATTTAGTAGGGGGGGTTGGGGGG